AGACCATGTTTTCAGAAGGAGCTCCACTAAACATAATTTTTGCATACCATTTTATAAAAAACTAACATTGTTTTCAAATTTTCTCGTACCCCCTTTTTTATGTTTTTGAAAACATACTGTTTTTTAGATTTATTTAGAATACATAAGGCATGCATATACTTTGGGAGAGACCTGGCTACAACTATCTTAACCTATAAGTTTTCATAACTGGTTTAATCTCAATGTTTATTAGTTCCATCTTTGCATGAATATGATGTAAGTCTGATGAAACAATGACCACCTTCAAGATTATTGAAACTACTAATATAGATGTACGCACCAGCAAGGAAACAAAATTTTCTCCAAAAGTAAGTTTAGATTTCAATTTCTCTACTACGTGTAGTGCAAACACCATCAGTAAGTAGGAGTACAGCTTTACCAATGCAAGCTTCTGAGCTGAGTGACTCTGACGAGCTTCTTCAGACCTTGCATAGAATGCCATGCCCAGGGCATTTATCTGCAAAAAGTTCTATACATAAAAAAATGCCCACTGATAGATTGACTGACTGTATTCAGGCCAATAGCATTCAATCAAGGAAAATAAAAGAACAAACTAAGGACGGTAAACAGCACCAATGACAACATGACTAAAGACGGAGCAATATTGGATCATTCACAACATTGACAATTAAGTTCGCTTCTCTTCTAAGGAAAATAAAAATAAACTATTTTATCAAAGCAGTATGAAAAATGAAGATTTGTGACTAGACTACTTCTCGTCTCTGGTCAGAATGACATTCAAACAATATTTCAACATTGAGAGAAAAAACATTGTTTTCACTTTCCACAATCATTTAGGGACCAAGAAAAGCCACATGGCATTGAGCTGCGGCTCTTGAACCAAGTTTTTTCTTACATATACAATAATCCAAAGTTGGCCTTACTTTTAGCACGCCTCCTCTTACATTTACACTGGAAAGCTGAGGAAGTTGTTACACTAATGTACAGCTGACATGTATTTATTGTTGTGTAAAATTCTCATGAAGCAATTTCCATAAACATCACTAATAAGTATATTGCATCTTTTGAAGAAAATTTCCCCTCGACTGTGAGATAAAACCAGTTTTTTTTCTTTTTTCCTGTTAATTTTATTAATGTTATCTTATAGCCAGTTCCTGGCTGGGCATGGCGTTTTGAGCTCGATAAATGAATAACTAGTGCAAGATTGCTCACATGAAGATTTGCTTCGGCTATCTTTTCTATCTGGGCAGCCTTCTCACTCGCAATTTCCGCAGCTAACTGTGCCTTTGCCATGTCTTGACGACATCTCAACCTCAATTCTACCTCATTTTCCTGCAATGAAATTAATTTTAAAAATTATTTTCAAGGAACAGCAACTTGAGCTTGTTTGTTATTAAAAAAACACTCCACCTTCTGTTCAAGTTCCTTCTGATATTTTTCTTCCAATTTTTCTTGAAGAGACTTCTGAGCAGCAGCTGATTTTGTTCTTTCTCGTTTTAACTCCTGAGAATGATTAAAAGTCCAAAAGGCCACTTATAAGAATGAGAGGAACACAATAACAGTGTCCACGTATGCATATTCTGGCATATGCATGTTCTCTGTGCAATTGATATGTCTACAAGAGTGTCCACGTATGCAATTCGTAAATTGGGAATGCAACCTTGTCTAAAATTGCGGCCTCTTCTGCATGCATAAGTTCCCTAACCTGAGCATCCCTCAATTCCTTTTCCAACTTCTCCTGTATAAAGCAAAAACATACGTCACAGTTAATAGATGTAGGCAGTCACATTCCACTAATATATATATATACTAATTACAGACATTCAAAACTGTAAGATATTCTATTTTCTATTGATCCATACCTTCAGGGCTCTCTTTTCATCAGCAAAAACACGGGAATCCAGCTCAGCTTGCCTCTTTTCAGCAGCATGAATAGCTTGTAAGAAATCAATAATCAATTTGCCATCCTTGGATATGTAGCCATCATTATACTCCTCAATTTCAGCAATTAAAGCCTGACATCTCATAACCAATAATTTAGATCTTGACTAAGATTCTTTTACTTAATTCCAACAAAATGTACATCCATTGAAAAGAAGGAAAAGTAAATGACCTCTGTATCTTTGTAAAACTTGTTAGTTTCATCTTTGTCGCCTCCATCCAAGGAAGACATGCCAGCCTTGTCCTTCAAATGGTACGCCTCAAGAAGAGAGCTTGACTTCTCTACAGATTCATCTGTATCAGTCAACTCCTGAATCGATACCAGCATAGACAAATTCACACTAAATTACACAGCTTTTGCAAGAAGTGAATATATTTTAAGAAACAAATGGATAGACTTCAGTTACCTTCAGTCTGTCTTCTGTACTTTCATCTTCTTGTGATGATACTCTGACATCAATTTGTTCAGATGCTGCATCTGTCGAGCTAGACATCGGTGTAGTTTTAACTTCCTCATCAGACCCTTCCCTAGTACTAGACTCGGTGCTTTGCATGTCAAAATTTACATCTGTGGATGTTTTAGATTCTAGATTCTTATTCTCTACTTCACTGATGCATTGTCTAGATACTGGAAAGTCTTTCTCCTCAGTGTTTTCCTGTGGCACCATGCTGGGACTGTCTTGGAACTGACTACCATCTTCCTCTTCATCCAAAGCCTCAAGATGAGGAAGGTGGATATCTGTCTCAACCGTCGGCTCAGTGGACTCCACAATTGGATTCAAGCTCTCAGTTTCTTCTCTAAGACTATTTGATTTTTGAGTTTCTTCTCTACTGGATGAGTCCAATTTGTGCACCACCAAAGGTTGGACATTGTCCAAATCACTTTTCTGAACAACTGTCTTTGTTGATTCTACAGAACTATTCTGCTCTATACCACCAGTTAGTTGGTCTAGATAGCCAGTTTGGTAAGCTGCAAAAACAGAAGCGCCAATAACAACACCGCCAAAGACATATTTTGGGAAAGAATTTCCAGACGTAGGTGACATGTTTGTAGGTTGTGGCTTTAGATTTTGCTCGGGTGCAGATGAAAGTTCCCTTCTCGTAGAAATACAAGGTGATATCTGCCAACATTGCACCTGCAACAAAAACCTGTCAAATCAGAAAACATAGGTAGAAGTATACAATTATACCAAAAAATATTTGGTCTCATGCCAGTATATTTTACTGTAGACAGGCTTTTGCAGCACACGCAGTTCATTCTCCCATTTTATTTGTCTCACAGCTCTTAGGCGAAATAGAGTGTATCATGAGAATAGAAATATATTAATGGTTTCAAGATTTTTAACACTGTAAATTAATTACAACAGCAGACGCAAGAATAGTACAAATAGCAAGTTCGTGTATATTAAAAGAAAAGGCTTCATGTAGTAAGTTAATAAAGTCTGCCCACACAACTATGTCCACAAGCACGCTTCAAACAGATGAAAGCCATATGCACGTTTCTGCTTAGTCGAAAATTAATTTCTAAACATCTGAGTTGCAAATTATCGAAATGCCAAGAAAGAACAGCATAAATAGCAAGTTTGCGTATGTTAAAAGATATAAGCTTCCGCCCAAATGCATCCACAAGCATATAGATGAAGACCTACGTAGATGTATATGCTTGTATGTCAGATACACACTTTTCAATCATCTGTTTGCAAATTCTCATGTCGTCTGGATTGTACCAAACGGATTCTGATCGAAAAATGCGAAATTCTACTTGCCTGTGGTGAAATCTGCCTCCGTTTCTTTCCAACAGATTGACGAGATGATAATTTCAGAATTGACCTGCTGAAAATCATGCGATAATGTCATTTATAAGCATCAGCCGATGTAACTGAAACCAAGGAAATCCAAATTCAGACACAACATGGACATTGAAACTAATTATCGTTTATCGCCACATCAAATTCCATTTAACATAACAGTTGAGAATATCAATTACCCTCGGGAGATCAAAGAATTAGAACGTGTCCATTTTCAACCAAACAAGAAAACGTTGCAATTGAAGGACAACCAAAATGACTAATGAACAAATAACATTAACATAATGAGCAAATTAGAACGGAAAAAATACGTAGTCCAGGCGCATTTCCGTACCTCCGCCACATAGCGTCTAGGTATCCAGTGAGAACAGCGAGCAACGAAGATGTTTGAGCCAACAGCCAAGTAAGCGATTGAATGTAACTATAAGTTGGAAGCGGAAAGTCCGACCTGATACGAGTGCTGAGTTTCGGATTCGACGAATCAAATTAACGATCGCTTGGCCGGAGAGAGATCACCGGAGACGACTGAAACATCAGATGGCAACGGAATTTTACCGCCTGATTAGACGTGTTCGTATAGCTACGAAGAATTTTTCCGCGGGTTGTAATAGATTCTGCTAGGCCCAATAATAGGCTGGGCCTTGGGCTGGTTTAATCTCTCACTAAAATCCAGGAGACTGATGGTCTGGTCTGGCTGGGCTGGGCTGAGTTTCGTGGGTGAATCATAAAAGATCGCCCTAATGTACGGCTAACAAGATACCACGTGGCAGAGTCGACTCTAGGTCAACCGCTCGATAAATCGAACCATAGGCGATGCTCGATGTTTCAGACCAAGCTAAGTTCATCGGACAATGCTGAGAACATTGCCCCACACAAGGAATATGGATAATTTATTATTCTTAAAAGTATCCTAGGCGACTAGACACGTCTAACTAGTGAGGTGGCAGGGACTATGCCACGTGGCAAGAGGAAGAGGCATCCCAACTTGAAACACTAGGGACGAACCATGTCACGTCACATAAAGAGCGGCATTAGTTTTCAGTATAAATCTTCCTTTTTCTTTTGTTTGTCTTTTGCTTGGTGCCATCTCTAATTACCTTCTCATATCTCATATCTCCCGGTAACATAAGCTATTTTAAAATCACGAACTAAATCTAAAAGGAAAAATTTTAAAAATATAATATTTGCTAGTAATAAGTTTGGACTATTACAATTTTTCACCAAAGATAAGTTATGCTGATTTAGATAGAGTTTAACTATTTAATTAATTTAATTTTTTCATACATGTATTGAACTAAAATAAAGAAAAAGCATATGTCACTAACACAACTATTTGTTGCTATTCAAAACTCGTTTAGACATAGCTTCCACAATGAAGTCCTTGATGGAGAGCGGCAAATGGTACATAAGTGCCATGAGGGTAGAATAGCCTCCATATGAGAACCAAGGCGACGGCTTCTTTTTGAGAATGGCGGCCACCGTCTTCTCTGCAAACTCCGCTGTGGGGGCGGCCTTGGGGCCTTGTGAGGCATTGGCTCTGGCCAGCATTGCAGCTTCATATGGCTTGAATAGCTTCAGGTCAGGCAACTGATTAAACCCGGCTACGGCAGAGTTTCCAATGTTTGATTTAATGGCTCCAGGGACAACGTTGATAACCTCGATTCCAAACGGCTTCAGCTCCAACCTTTAATGCCCGAAATACCGATCAAAAAGGTCAACCAAACTTCACCGTGTGTAATAAATGTGCAAATTAAATGAAATGTGTAAGCAAATTAAATCGAATATTGATTACAGGCTTAACTTTATTGTTCAAGTTGCCTCCTGACAAGGAAATGAGGGTACTATATAAGTTTCTACCAGAGGTTTGGTTGAAGTTAAGCTAACCCATGAAGTTTTCTCCTATTTGGAGTTGGTTTCAGGTTAAACTTTTAATGTAGTAACCAAAAAGACAAATGGTTAGTTCTGACTTTTTCAAGATCTAATTGTTAGAAGGTAGTTTGTTTAACTATTTCACCTAAAAAAAATATATGATATCTAATTATGAGATCTAACTAGTAGAGAGGGAACAAAAAAAACATTCCTTATAAATGTGTGGAAACCTCACTTTAATAGACGTGTTTTAAAAAACCTTGACGAGAACACTGGCCCACAAAGGAAGTGGATTGTGAGATCCTACATCAGTTGGAGAGGTAAACGAAGCATTCCTTATAAGGGTGTTGAAACTTCTCCCTAGTAGACGCGTTTTAAAAACCTTGAGAGGAAGCCTGAAAATGAAAGCAAAAAAGAGGACAATATCTACTAGCGGTGGGCTTGGGCGGTTACACTCCATTATCAAAAACCAAAAACTAAAAACTTATACAGCATAAAAATCCAACCAACAAGAAGAAAAATAATTGCAACGTAACAGTTGGGAACTTCCATTGACTGATGCAGTTATTTGGATCTTTTGTATGGGTCTATAACAATTGCATTCATAGCTAAATGTATTCTCTAAATAACTTTCAGCTACTAAAAATAACTCACATAAAAAGTCAATAGAAGACATTCGTAGGTAAGTATTTTCCAACCTGAACTAAAGTAAAAAGTTTCAAACCCAATACCCAATCAAACAAACAAAAAAACATCCAAATGTTCAAATCCAACTAAGCAATATTCATCAGAGAAGAAAAAAGTGGAATAAACATACTACAACTAACCATAAATCTTCAGGAATCAGAACTTAATCCACCAAAATGTTAATTTAATCACTTAATTTAAGCTAAGAATTGAATTCCCTATAATTATCATTCGTGAGGGTCTAGAAGAAGATCGTGTTTATCGACCAAGCCCAAGGCAAAACATTCTGGGGAAGCTCATGAGCACAAAACAATTGTTTATTATAGAAATGATGTGAATCAAAGAGGTATAAACACGAACCTCAGACAGTCAGAAATGGCATGAATGGCAGCTTTAGTGGCAGTATAAGCACCCGCCCATGGAATAGGTGCTAATACAGTAACACTTCCCAAATTTACAATCTTCCCCTTTCTTCGTGATACCATGTGAGGAACCACCGCTTGAATCAATCTCATGGTCCCTGCAAATGAAATTCCGAACTTTTTAGTATAAATAATTGTTTTGAATAGCATATTTTTAAAGTGATTTAAACAATTTGAAGGTCAATACCAAATAAACCCAAACAACTTAGTTTTAACTATACCAAAAACTAATCACCCAAGTAGAATAGAAGATAAGATGATATCCTTCAGTGTTCGTTTGTTACAACGATTGGATCAAATGTTAATCTCAAAATAATGTCCAAATTCGAATTAATTCTAACGCTAAATTGGAGGACCAGACAAATCACAATTTCAAGTCCCTAATTTCGACATCAAATGATTTTCTGGTATGAAAAGTGAAATGAAACAAGAAATAATTCCAGAATTAAAATACAATTGACTTAACAGATTGATGAGAAAGTAATTTGTTAGATAGACAGAGATAAAGAGAGCATTTCACCGAAAACATTGGTATTGAATGCGTTCTGCATAGATGAAAGAGGAACCTCGGCTATGGGGCCAATACATTGAACTCCAGCGTTGTTCACCAAAATATCAACCCGACCGAATTTTTCAATGACAATAGACGTTAATCGCTCAACGCTTTGGTCGGAGAGAACATCGAGTTCTTGTAAGAAAAACCTGGGATCGTGCTCCAGATCCGCCATTGAGGAGCGAGATCTACTAGTTGCGACCACCAAACAATCCTGATCGGCAAATGCTCGGGCGAGGGAATGACCTATGCCTCCGTCGGAACAGCCGGAGATGACAACCACTTCTTTTCCGGCGAACTCCATGACCCTTTCTCTGCAAGTGTCGATCTGTCGGGCTTGGGCAGTGACCCTTAAAGCCGCTAAATAAATCGGAAATTTAAGCTTTGAGCAATTTTGTTTCCATAAGATTTTTCGTAAACATATAAAAGGAATTTATTATTTTAAAAAAATACATAAATAAAGGGAGAATTTTGACTATGATTGATATTATGATAATTAAGTTATCTTTAACTCTATAATAAATTTTAAACTCGTTATAATAAATTTGAGATGATATTAAAATATAAATAATTAATTTTAACCTTTTTAATAGAAGTATTTAAAGATTGTGTTATTCAAATATATAAATTCAATTAATTAAGATATATTGTATATATTCTCGACCAATATTAAAAATTCAAATCCAAAACTCAAATAAATTAAGAATTGAAATTATTTCAATATTTCAAATTTAAAAAATGGAAGATTTTTATTTTATTTAAATCTTTTAATAATTTCTCATAAAAATACAGTTAAATTCCTACTATTTTTTCCGTCCGGATAATTATTTAAAAAGCTAAAAGATATTTTTTTTTAGAGATAAAAAATGAGATAAGATTTAAGACCTAATAGATAGGATCCATCTAGTAAGAATATATTGAAATTTGAATGGTGATTTATATAGATTTACTAATCCCTTCCTCTTTCTTCCCCTCTTATAAATTAGCAGCTCCCGTTCACAATTCAATATATCATCTAAATTCGATTAAAAATTTTAGAGATTTATAAATCCTCCCAAAAATGATCTTCAAAATCAAGTTTACTAAAAAAGATCCAACGACCCCTCTTGATGATGAAAAAACTGATCAGAATTTTTCACCACTTCCTCCTCATGAACTTTACCATGCTCGTCAATGTAAGAAGAAGTTATCTTTGAAGATTCGATTACCCTTAATGCACAAACATAGTTTAGACGGTACCACTTACTACCGTTGCGAGAAGAGGCCTCGTGATGATGTTAAAGCAACCGAGACTATCACTGATTTGAAACTCCAGTTGCCGTTGAAGAAGCGTAAGGCTATACAAATGTACTGTTGTGAGATGGAATCGCCTAATACTCACAAATCTTTAATGCTTTCTCATGAATTCTTACCATGTGATTGTATAAAATCAAACGATAAGCTTTAAATAATGATTCTGAGTATGAAATTTTTAACCTTAATTATAATTATAATTTAAATGAGAATTAGAGGTTTCACTATCTTGTTTGATTTTTTTTTTTTTTTTTGTTTTTTTTTTTACATCATTTAAAAATGATTAACTTTTAATTTTTTAAAAATTTAAATAATTAATTTTCACCTAGAACTTTTAATAAATGGTTTTTATTATCTTTCAATTATCTTATTTATTACCATTCCATCAACTTGTATATTTTATTTAAGTAGGGGCTTTCTTGTACGCTTCTCATGAGATTTGTAATAGGCAAGAAACTCACCCATTTGATCGAGTAGGTATAAATTTAGTAACACTTTTCCCACAGGATCTATCCCACTATTCTTTCACTATAAACAACGTAAAGCGAAGGTATAATACTTTATGAAATAATTGGAGTAGCCGAAAATATCGAAAGGAGAGCTCAAACTCTTTTTTCTAGTAGTTTACCAGATAAATTGATAAATTGGGCTAGCTGGTGATCCAGACTGTTTCTTGAGGTTAGTGTGACACTATGATTGTTTACCGTGGAAAAAACTCATTCTATCATTGATTTTACCAAAAATTATGAAAACATGAATAAGGGTTAAATCAAACTGGTAAGAATTTGAATGGATCGGTTATTTCTTAATTTGTTGAATATCCTACCAAACTCCAATAGTTTTTTAGATTTCTATTTTTAGTATACAAATATTTAATCCATGAATTTCAAATTTATATATGAATTATAATATGTAATAATCTAGTTATTGCAGTATACACCAGATTTAGTCTATACTATGTAAAATCTTGCTCAGATTTAATAATATGAAATTGATAAACTACTTTAACCTTGGTGCTATTTTATTGCATTAAAAACCGTAGAAATTGAATCAATAAAAAATAAGTATAAAAATCAAATTGTTCTAGTTCGTGGAAGTTACCAAAAGTGCATACGTGTGTACTTTTATATTAAAAAAAAGTCCACGTGTACATAATTACAGAAAAACTGTATATATTAAAAAAAAATATATATATATATAGATATATATGTGTTTTTAACAAATTAATGAAAATAAAAATATTATGGAACAAGCATTGGAGATATATATATATATTTTTGTTGTTGGTTAGTTCAAATTATTTATGTCATTTTTAAAATTTTTATTTTTAATAAAAGTAAATTGTTTTGGGGTAAAAATTTATTAATTTATTTTAAATATCTAATTAAAATTTATAGTTCAGTATATATTTTTTAAAACGGTTGCAAAAGAAATAATTTTAAAATTGAATAAAAAAAGAAGATATATTTACGTATAATTACAAAAATTAATATTGATTTTATAAAATTTTCATTTATTTGAAATGGCTCAATGCAAATAGGTTTATAATTGATTGATCGTATTTTTTGGATCATTGAATTTTTTGAGCACCTCTACTCTTACACATCTTTATGTTCGACTACTTTTTTTATCTTTTCAACGTTATACCTAGAACGATGATGAGTTAACTACCTCCGTCACCGGCGTGACAAAAGGAGTTTAAAATATACTTTATATATTTAATTTTTGCAAATAAAGTGGAGAGTGATATATCTTTGCATTTATTTCTTGCATAATGGACAAGGGGACCATAAAATTCCTAATTTTATGATAAACTCCATAAGTTTGCTGAATGAGCTCCAAATTATCCATGTTTATTAATTGAGTAACATATCATTTTTAATGCTCTACATCTTAAAAGAATCCAAATTTTCTCGTGATGGTGAAATGACCATGTTGTCCCTCCCATTGTTGACTTATCCCACATTTTATTTAAATATAACCCCTCTTCATTTTATTTTTCATTTATTAGATCTAAATCATAATAAATTTTATTTTATTTTATTTTTGAAGCTTTTTATATATATATATATATAACAAAAATTGGTCTAAACAAAATGGAACGTGAGATGTTCTATATTGGTTGAGAAGGAAAACAAATCACCATTTATAAGGGTATGAAAACTTTACCGTAGACGAATTTTAAAGCCTCAACGGAAAGCTGAAAAAAGAAAGCCCGAATAAAACAATATCGGCTAGTGGGTGTTGTTACATAATATTAATTATGCTCTTCAACCCTCCAAAATTCGCACCAAAACTCAAAATTCATGAGAAGATGGGAAAAAAAGGAAGCCATAACCTCTAATTTCTTTGTTTCATTTTGGGCCAGAAACACCACCAAACAAAGTTTAAAAATTTACACAAGCTAAGGCAGAGAAGAACACAAAAAAAAAAAAAAAAAAAAAAAAAAAAAAAAAAAAAAAAAAAAAAAAAAAAAAAAAAAAAAAAAAAAAAAAAAAAAAAAAAAACACTAATTCAGACAGTGAAAGCCAGAGAGCTCTGTTTTTTCACGAAATATTGCTTGCCGGAACCAAAATTACAGTACCGGGATAGACTTTTTTAGTGATTTTTCCGGCGAAAGCGCCGGCGTGATGGGCGGTTTTTGAAGGTTTGACCAAGTCTTCCCTTCTCCCAGCTTTCTCCTGCTCCATCCTCTGAAGTTTCTCCTCCACTTTCTTCTTCATTACATAAACTCTAGCGCAGCTCGCTCCCATGGACGACATGGTTTTTTACAGTGCCCTTTTTCCTCTTCTTTCTTTAATCGGTGTGTTTCAATGCGTTAAACCCTCCCGTATTTATAGTGGGAGTTTGCTTTGCTTGGAAGGGGCCAGCCGGGCTTCCCTTTGGCCACCTAGTTAAAATCACAATCACCTACTTAATTCACATCAATTATTCATAATTTATATTTATTTATTTTAATAGCTTGATTTAAATATTTCATGTTAATATATCTCATAATATTTTTTTATTTAATTAATGAAAATGATTAAATTTAAAATTATTATGATGAAGGATAATTAATTCAGAGATGCTCAATAATGCAAGTCAATTAATTTTTAATTCCAGCGTGGAGAAAACGGTTGAGAGACGGCCACTACCGTTTACCGTTTACCAGAATGGTTTTGAAAGTACACAGAATGACGGACAAAAACGGTGGGGGAACCTCAATCTCTCTCTCTTTCTCTCTGGATATTTGGAAATTTTGGGTTTCCATTCGGTGCGGCACTCACACAACGCGTATTGTGAGGACGCCGCGTCAGCATAAAGATATTTTTTAATACAGGCGGCCAAAGTTGCGCTTACTTGTCAGATTCTTACTGGCTAAGACTCCGAGGTCATAATCGGAATTGTGGACTACGGAGGCACTTTATTTATTTATTTATTATTTTATAATTTTCTTAAAATTATTTGATTTGACATTATTTGAAAGCACTTAGAAAAAGTTTTAAAAGTCCAATTCTTCATTATGCACCCACTCAATTTTTGCCGACGGGTTTATAATTAAGATTATTTTCATATTATTCAATTTTTTTTATTTATTTTTTATAATAATATTAATATAAATGACTCATAATTGTAAAGGTAAGAGTCAAATTAAGACTTAAGAATAAATTTTGATGATGTAATCATTCTTTTTTTTAATTTTAAATAATTAAAAACGATAAAAGAAATTGGGATAATTATTTATTATTATTATTTAGGAGATGGAGAAATCAAGTACGCCTGTTACGGAGTACGGAATTTCCATTAAGGTGAGAAAGCATCGTGAATTAGATGAGGTTGTCTGCCTTTTTCTTCTTTTTCGTCACTTTATTATTATTATTATTTATAATTATTATTGTTCTGTTCTTTGTCCTCACCCCGCATGTACTTGAATGACCAATTATAAAAAGCAAGGTTAGGAAGATTCAAGAAATCTATACATTGCATCTTCAAATGCTAGCTAATGTACAAATTGAAACAAAGGCTTTTGAATAAAAAAAAATCTTTATATTATTAATATATCAATAAAATAATTGAGTGACTGACATTGGAAAGTGATTACAAGACTTTGCCTTTGGTTGTTGAACTACCAATTAAGACGATTTATGTATGTCTTATTTTCTTCAATTTGTATTTATTAGTTTTTATTAGAAGTTGTAGTTTATAGTTGGTAGCTAACTTCATTATGTTTGTGTTATTTTTTTGGCCTATTTAAAGGCATGTAATATTCAACAAAACTTTTGTCTTTTTTTGATGCATTCTTTTTCAAACTTTGCTTTAAATTTGATGTTTAAATCGATTTATTAAATTAGTTTTGATAGAAGAATCTAAGAGTGACCGTCATAGATTTTAAGTTTAATCTAAGAGTCATTCATCTTCTAACTACTCTTGGTTTGAATCAATTCGTTAAAGTTAGCTTTGTTTGTGAACGTTTGCATGAATTCTCGAAGGATCTCTAGCTTTACAAAATCTAGTATTGTTGAGGATCCCTTTACGCGTTCCTTTTGAACCAAAACCATATTGGGCCCAATGAGGTCCATTAGTTTTTTCATATTTACTCGGGCCCAAAGGCGCATTGGTTTTCTCATATTTACTTGGGCCCAAAGGCCCATTGGTTTTCTCATATTTACTTGGGTAAAAAATAAAAAATGGGACTTCTATATTTGCATAAATAATTATTGATTTTGTGATAACTTTCATTGCTTCATTAAATTTGCTTGACAAATTAGTTTCAATTTTCAATGCCCTCTCAAACAAAACACGAACGTAATAGCCATTAATTAATTAACCCAAATTTTAATTAAAATTCACATTTTCCATTTTAATTAATATTTGCTAAATCCATATTTATCTGATACAATTCCAATCAAGAACTCGTGCACTCTCGGGTGATGCTATATCCTACATGCACTAATGTTTGATTTTTGTGTGGACTGAATCCTTCTAGTCATGCCATCATCTCTATTTATGTATGTCATATCTTGGAATTCGTGCGATGAGATGTTTGTCTATTTCGTGTCATTCTTGATCTCACGTACTAGTTCATCCTACCAATAATTGAAGTGTGTTAATTTATTGAGTTTCAAATGATCTAAGTCAACGAAATTAATAGGTTGAGCTTATTTTACCTGTCTTGAACCAACTCATAACAAAATTATTATTTCATTTTAAAATTTCAATAGATTATGTTTTATTTATCAATTCATTAGTAAGTAATTAATTAGGAAAATTATTTAAAAGAGTGACTATGGATGATTAAAAATTTTGTTATTAAAATTTTTATATATATTTGCAGAGAGAATTAAAAATAAATTAAGAAAATATTCTTAATAAATGTCAAAACTCTATTGCAATAGTTAAGTAGCACTTGGTAAAGGAATCAAACTTATAATTTAATAATTCCTAGTTTATCCATAAACACGGTTTTAGGGAATGCCACGTGTACCGAACTGAGATTGGTTGCACAGAAATTCGATGAATCCACGAGTGAGGTTCTTTTAAGAAAAGAAAAGGAAAAATAAAAATAAAAATAAAGAAAACAGAGGATATAGAGTGCTGAAATTTCAGATGGAGTAAAAAATTGGAAGAATTGGAATCTATCTGTCAATCTCTATCTGGGCAGCCATGGGAGCTCTCTCCGAGTTTTTCTCCCACCTCCACACAATGACCGCCTTCTTCACCACCCTGTTAATTCTCGAACTAGTTATTCTCGTTCGCACGATCTTCGGCTTGAGGCCTAACGGTGACAAGCGCGTGATTCCGACGGCGCAGTTTTTGAAACTGATCGAGGAGAAGAATCCGACGATTCGCTTCTCCAATAAGATTACCTCTAGTCCCGCCGATCAGTGTGCCGTTTGCCTCTCTGAATTCGAGGAAGGGGAGAAGGTACGGAAATTGCAGTGTAACCACACTTTTCACAAGGATTGCCTTGATAATTGGCTGAAACTCTGTTTCGCTACGTGTCCGCTTTGCCGGAGGAAGGTTTTGCCGGACGATATTGTCGCCGGCTATCACAGGCTGCGGGACCGTGTAGAGTACGACGGGAGCGACGAGGAGCTCATCTTTTTGTTATCAGCATTACATGGTAACAGTATATACAGATTTTTCTAGGGAGAAATATAATTTCATTTTGTCCATCACAGAAAATAATCAAATAACATAGGATGTTGATTTTGTGTAGATTAACTAATGAATATTGTTTTCTTCTTGAAACTTGACGAGCAATAGCGTTAGGTAACAGCTCGCTTCTGGTTCGATTGATCTGTTGTTAGATCGAGTAAAATCGTGTATGTTTCTGTTTACCTGTAGTTACTCCAGCCAACTGTTTGATGCTTTGTTTGCTTGATTGCTTCCTACTTTTCCTGGTTCTTCGTCAACGAATCATTAATTTTAGGGACAATCAATTTACATCTTGTCGAGCACCTTTGTTCCAAAACACATTGAAATCCGCTCTAAATCATCCAAATCACAGCAACTTTTCTCCACCAGGAAGTTTACTTAGGCTAATCCAAAGGATCTTTCGAAAAATTGAAGACGTTAGTTAGATAATCCATTAGAGTCTCTTGTTATTGGGATTCCTTGGTACGTAGGGCCAGGACATATAGTTATAGTAGATGTGAGTTGGTGGACTAATTTATGGTGCTCTTACGAGGTAACTAAAGTGGTACATGACAGCATTTATTAAGAACATATAGTGATTAGGAAGAGGAAGTTCATCCAAGTTTAACAGAGTTTCCCTTGATATTTGCATGTGATTTGGGTGGATATGGTAGGAGGACTAAATGCACTGTTGGTGGGCAGCAATTAAATGCAGGAACAAACAGAAAATTGGCACATCTTCCCTGTCTTTATGCCCCAACAGTGATAGTGAATCCAACCAATCCTGTTGAACTCCAAGGCCTCTGATTTGACGTGCGAACCAGTGACTCCTTTTTGTTCACTATTCAAATTTTGTTCAACCTTGTCTCTACAAAAGATGATGGAATCTCAGAAACCATGTTTAACAACTTTGATTAGGTGGTTTTGTAATATCAAGGTTTCTTTACATTTTCAAGGAATTACAACTTTGGAAGTCTTAGCGTTCTCAGAATCAGTCATCGGTGAGAACAACCAAAAACAGCTTTTAGATGGTCGAGCCAAACACAATTCCCTATGTTTTAGAACTGTTCCCGAGAAGGACTTTGAAACATTTCCTATTCCAAATGTTTGTGGAACCTTTATTCTTCGCACGATGAACTGAATCGTTCTGTAAGTCGGACAATTGCAGTGAGTAGTTGGTCGAGTATAGGCAAAATCTCGTGGGGTAATTGCAAAAGATTTGACATTTATTGTCAAATTCCAAAAAGTAGATGAACGACTTCAATAGTAATAATAGCACCAAACCAAAAGAACGCATATGGAGGAGATTAATCCTTATCCATTTGGGAATTGGGGTGGCTGAGTTCTTTTTTCTCTGAATTTGTTGCACGTTATTGTTGCTCCATTTTCAAAGAATTTGTTGCACGTTATTGTTGCTCCATTTTCAAAAAAGGAACATCTTATATTGTTTAAAATTGCCATTCACATTATTATAGAACTCGAGTTTGGCGTTTTCTTTAGTCATGAGTTTGGCAGGATGCAACCAAACCCATTGGAAAATTAACCAAAACGAGGGCTGCTGGATTGGCCATTCTGTTAGTGGAGCTTTGAATTGTATGGGGTTAACTGGTTTAGATTTGTCGTTGAAGATGGAGACGAATTGATGATTTGATGATAGCCTAGAAGCCACAAAATACCCACAAGACTCCAGTTTTGGTCCATTTCCTCAAAATCTAACAGAAACCCACAAGACTGACATAATTACAAGGCCTAAAGATGACACCATTGTGTCTTGTATCATCTTTACCATATCTTCAGCAGAAAGTAACAACCGGAGGAATATTAGTTTCTGGATCAATTCTCTGTGCAGAAACCTAGGAAAAGTTCTAGTGGATTCTATAATAGCCAAAAGTATACCGTCAAATATTATCTGTTTTGGTGCGTAACTATCATTGTCAATCTCATTATTTTAAAATGCATTTATTAAGGAATGTTTGTAACAGTCCTGACTCATTGTTAGTAGATATTGTTCGTTTTGGCCTATTATATACCGCTGTCAATTTCATGGTTTTAAAAACTCATATACTAGGAAATGTTTATAACAACTCAAACTCACTGGTACCCGATATTGTCTACTTTTGTCTATTACATATGTTATCAATTTCATGGTTTTAAAACGTATTTACTGAGGAATGTTTGTAATAGCCCAAGTCCACTGTTAGCCAAATATTGTCCGCTTTGACCCATAGCGCTATCAATCTCATGGTTTTAAAACGCATCTATTAGGGAATGTTTTGTAACAGCCTAATCCCAAGCCCAATCCCAAGCCCATAGCAAATATCATTTGCTTTGACCTGTTATGTATCGCTATCAATCTTATAGTTTTAAAACACATCTAGGGAATATTTGTAACGCTACAAGTTCACTGCTATCAGATATTATCCGCTTTGACCCATTACATATCATTGTTAGTCTCGTGGTTTAAAGCGTATCTACTCTTCCACACTTTTATAAGAAATATTTCATTCAACTCGGAAAGAACATCAAACCAAACCAAGTGAATGATGGCTATGGCAATCCCATATGCGTATTTCTACTTGCAGCTCAGGCTGAACATGTGAAAGCGTTTGAGGACGTTGCTGAATGTCTAGGATTAAGATTGACTTGAGCATCTGTGATATGTTCGAGTATATTCTGTCTTTAAAAAGTTTAAAATTTAATTTAGAAAAGTCAGTATGATTGAATCATGAAATAATTTACAATCGTCATTTTAAAGTAGACTTTCAAATGGAATGGTTCGTGTTTTAGTGCAATGAAAAGGATCATCAACTCGGGTATCCACAAGAAGGAGTCGCCGAACCAGCATAGGCAGAGTGAGAAAGCAGCCTTAAAAGAGAAAATCCAAAGTATAAGAAGGATAAGATTACAAACAATGCACAAATTGGAAAGATTTACAGTATAATACAAAGAAGACGAACTCAGGCGGAGAAGAATCCAGTGGATGCGGCTCGCCCGATTTGGGATTTGGGTTCAAAAACCCATTTGAATTCATTTCGTTCGGCCAATTCCAATTCCAATTCCATCATCTTCTTCACCCTACTCGCAGTTGCAGAGATGGAAACCCCAGAAACCAAATCTTGAACCTCTGCTGCCGCCTTCTCTTCTTGCCTTGGATTCTTCATCCTCCTCTCGTATTCCTCTGCGACCAGAATAGCAATATCCGCCATGGCTGTGTGATCTTCGAAGCTTTTCTTAGTTGATTTTGCAGAGACCCATTTGGGAAGAAGAGAGGAATATATTAACAGAGTGGGGGATGATTGTGGATAAGGCCGACAAGTCGGTGTAGACTGTATAATACAAATAAAAAAAAGGTGGAGTAATTTATTTTATTTTATTGTATAATTTCCAATTTATTTTATTTTATTTTAACAAATATAATTTGCATTTACTTATTTTATTGAAGGGTTTTTTTTTTTTTTTTTTTTGGAATTACAAAATGAATCTTATCTTGATGAAAAAGTTTCGGTTTTGGAAGAGAAAAAAAAAAAAAAAAAAAGTGGTTTGTACCTTTTTGAGACTTAGATGGGTTTGGTTTGGTTTAATTTAATTTGGTTTAGTTGGAGTGGTAAAAAGCTTTATGTCTCACAAAACCCGCTTTAAAAAATTATTTAGTTGGAATTTTAAGTTATTTAAAGAGGAGAGGAAAACAAATCATTTCTTATAAAAGTGTAAAAATCTCTCCTTAGTAAAATTGTGAAGCTAACGATTTCATATTGGTTAGAGAGTTAGACGTGTTTTAAAATTGCGAGGCTAACGATGATACAAACCGACCAAAAAAGACTGATAACAATATGTAATATACCAAAATAGACCGTGAGGAACTATTCTTTATAAGGGTGTAGAAACTTCTTCTTAATAAACACGTTTTAAACTTGTGAGGTTGATGACGATACATAACGGGCTAAAACAGACTATTGAACGGATGATTAGAGTAATCTTTTTGAGGTCATGTTAGGTATTAGGGTATAGGTTAGGGGTAGAAAGTGAAGGCAAAGTATCCAATTCTTTGCTTAGTCTATTGGGTCCCATTTTGTTAATCATTTTCGTACGGGAATTAATGGAACTTAGGAAGTGGTTTTTGAGAATCAAAACCGCCAAACAGAAACCCAGCAACTGGTTTTCAATCCCAATACCAAAACCACAACACCGACAGACAACGCCTAATTCTATCAGATTTCAGATGAATGTGGGTGATACGTGTCTTCTTATTATTTGCCCTTCACGTTAGTTATAAATTTTACCAACAAGTTTGTGCCAGAAAACGTGGCACCGTTTTACAGGTTGTCTTCATGCACCCCGACGCTGACAGTCCACTGATTTTGTTTACTTCACAAAAATAAAATATTTAACTTACCACTTAATCACTATTTGATCTAAAACCAAGGTAAACGACTGGCCAAAACAAATGTTATTACATAAAAATGTCTATTTAACACACTAGGATTATTTGTTCAAGTGGAGGATGATCGAAGGAATGAGGAGATTTTTTTTTTTTTTTGTTAGCTAAACGGGACCCAATACACAATTATATTTTGAACAGAGAGATAATACGAGCAACACAAATAACCTGAGGCTGTTGAATAAACTAAAAATACTTTGGGAATATTTCCACCAAATGCAACAGCAAATCATCTTAGATATATGATTCTAACTAAAGGATGATAGAGAGCTAACCCCGTTGCGTTGCGTGCATTACTTCGATCAGAGCCTCCTACTTTATCCACTTTGATCCGTTATGTAAACGCTTCCATGCCCTTATAAGTAATGCATCGTTCCTCTCTCCTCTCCAATCGGGGGAGGAATATGACGATAAACCCGCCATTAGGAATCAAGGAACAAAAACACATAAAATGGGGCAAGAATGTAGAGAAGAATAACAGCAAAATATGATACGAGATGGCCCATCTCCATGAACATGCAATGTGGAAGATAGCGCAATGGCGTAGAAGTGGATACTTGAATGTTGATCTTCTCAAATCGCTGCACAGTTCATCATTTTCACTAACGTATCATCCAATTATGTTGTTTCGTTAATAATTAATAAACGCATTGAAACTAATTGGCATTTTTATCAGAGCTGCAGAAAAAAAGGTTCAGAAGTACTCTAAATCTCACGCAGCAGAAACATAATTACTAATTTGGAACACAGCCTAACAGACGTCCTCAAGAAGCTAATATTTAAATAAATTAAAAAAGGCCCTAATTTTACTTCTTCCTCTTTTTGGGAGGCTGGAGTGCTTCCTCGTCTTCATCCTCGTCTTCATCCTCGTCTTCCTCCTCATCTGCTACTTCATCCTCGTCTTCTCCACCATCGTCGTCGTCTTCTCCATCATCATCCTCATCATCGTCGTCACCATCATCGTTATCGTCGTCGTCATCACCATCATCATCCTGGTCCTCCCCATCGAACTCTTCTTCATCCTCCCCATTCTCTTCTGCCCCACCAGCTCCACCCTCTTGACTCTTCTTTGAATTACTTTTATTGTTGCCGTTGAGGTTGTTGGCGTACTTGTCTCCATCTTCGGATGATAAATCCTCTTCATCTTCACCTTCACTTAAGTCCCCATCCCCATCCTCATCATCATCACCATCTTCTTCGGCATCAAGTGGTGTGCATGATGAGCACTGGGTGGGACTATTCCCTTTCATTCCAGGTTTGATCAGACGTGCCCCAAGGGGTTCCTGCAACAACATTTCCAAGAATACAGTAGTCCATGAGGTTAGGCATAACAGAAACCAACAATATCATTTGCAAATGGTTGTTTGATTAAGCGAAACAAACAGAAAAACCACACAATATTTGCTAAAACAACACAAGAATTTGATACACCCAATTTTGTTAATACAAGATAAGAATTTTCTACCAGTTTATACAATTCTAAACGATTCAAAAGTCACGAATTGACCAGCTGTAAGTACCACGCAACGTTCTTTTGTTTTACAATTCTCAGTAATGATAAGAAATTATGCTAATTTCTAACAGAATAGGCCGCCAATGAGTTGACATTTTAACAGGAATGAATAGTTGCTGAGCATGGCCTCGCATATTTTGATGGCCTACCCTGTTCCTTCAATTTGGGAATCTCTGTTTTGTACTTTTACCTTCTCCACTTTTATTCTTAGTATATTTTATTTTGCCCTTGTCTTTTCTTGTCGGGATCTGTTCACCGACCAACGTGATAAGAACCCACTAATAACAAGCTTAACATCAATTGGATGTCAGAAATGGTATCCATTAACGAGAAGAAAGGCAGGAGGATGGTGGGAAGGGAAAATCCGATTCTTTTGGACCTCGAAACCACGTATTACGATTGATTCATAATCCAACTATCCTCATAAAAGTCGCAAATACTCTATTCTTCAAAAGAAAAAAAAAAAGAAAGCCACAAACACTCCAAAAACAATTTGAGCTCGAGTCCAAAACTTAATATTCAACAAAAGGCGACATCTTTTAATTGTATACTGAAATTTCCCATCAAACGAATAAATTTTGAAGTATTGCTTCATTAATTCCATTCTTAATTCAAGCTGAAAGCCCCCCACCCAACCACTGGAATGAAAGGAATTGAAAGAGGGTTATGGAGTGTAGTTCAAGTCGTCGGAGTGAGGGCATTTCCGTAAATTTAGCATCACAAGTTGCCCATCAAGTGGGGTCAATGGAATGATGGCCCAATAGGAAAGATGGAGAGAGAGAGAGACATTCACAAGAATATCCCTCGACGCGTTATTACGGTGATTTCGAGAACAATTCCCAATTTTTCTTTTAAAAAATTATTCAAGTTTTTAGCTTTCCATATAATATAATATTTAGAAAAAGAAAGGGGGAAAAAATCAACCAAAATAATCTACACAGGCTAAAGCTTTTACTTTAACGACTCAAGCTCAGCCGTACTCAGCATCAACCCAGTTGGCCAAAGCCGATGGGTTTTATAAGGAAAACAAACCAAGCCATCAAGTAAAAAAGATATTCATTAACGAGGGAGACTGAACTTGGTAATAAAAAAGATTAACGAGGAAGTTAAAGAGACACTTGCCTGAGCCAGGAGCTGGGTGTTGACCAGAGCCGAAGCCAGTAAAGCAGCTAAACCATGACTGGCGCAAGCGAGTGAGCCAGCACCGAACGTGACACCTGCTGAAGCATTAGTTATCTCCATTTGCGCCGCGACTTGTTCCCTGCAAATACATCAAAAGGGAACCCAAAAAAAAAAAAAAAAAAAAAAAAAAAAAAAAAAAAAAAAAAAAAAAAAAAAAAAAAACTGATGAGAGAGCTGGCCACCGTGAGATTTGTCCCCAAAAATTTAAACAGCCGATAAAAGACTGAAAATCATAACAAAACACCAACTCCATCGGAAATTCTCTCAGTCCCTCAGTCTCTCAGCCAGCCCCCTACCGTGTTGATTTGGTAGTTTCTACCGTCTAGGGTTTGACCTTGGACTATAAATCCAAAAAGGCCCATTCTATGATATATTCAAATACCATTTAAAAGCAGAGGAAGTTTTCTGACGCATCCACTTGAAAGAAAAGAGGCGTCGTCTTTCAGTGAAGCACAAACTCTAAAGTCCATAAAGTCAACGGTGAATTCAGCTCAAAAGTGGCAAAAATAACAGGTAAACTAGAAATGAAACTCCGTATTCATAGTAAAACAGCAACAAACCACAGAAAATTCAGTAAAACCATCGACAAACGACCTGGGAACACTAGCAGAGTGAAGAACAAGCAAGGAAGCGGAAGCAAAAAGCAGAAAACAAGAAAAGATGAAAGAAATCAAGCAGAAACAGATAGAGAAAGAAAGGAACAAAGAATTGAGAGTAAAAGCATACCGAGAAGACAGATCAGAGCAGGGAGATGGTAGATCTGGACGTATCGGGATCTAAAACCACAGAAAAGAAGCACGAGAAGCAACGTTCATTCTGGACCGTCCGATCGAGATCGAAAAGACACAGAGAAAGGAAGATATAGAATTATCGTCGGCTCTCAGAGAAGGGTGAGAGGGAAGGAAGGGGGGGGTAGGGTGGGGGGGGGGGGGGGGGGGGGGGTGAGAGGTAAGGGGAAGTGAGAGAAACAGAGCGATTACTGGAGACCGACTGCCCGTAATTTTCCAGTCCGGTATCGGGCAGATCGGGCAGCGTCGTAATCTTGTAAAAAAGACCGCGTTTTAAGCTGCCCAATGAGCATCTAGACAGGTGTGGGTTCGGATAACTTCTCACATCAATTTTCCCTTTGGTCCTTTTATTTTTTCAGCAACGGGGTTTCCATTTATTACACAACCTCCCTCCCAACAAAAACTGTTTTTTTTTTTCCTTTTATTTATTTATTTATTATTATATATTTTTAATAAACCATTATTTTAAATTGCCTTCAACTTTAAGCATCTGAACAACTCTATCCTTAGAAGACTATATTAAAAAAAAAAAAAAAATCAAATTAAAAAGAAAAAATAGTGTCATCAGATCAGAAGACTCGGTCTTCAAGGAACAACTCGTAGTTGTTGATAATAAATTAATGAATAAAATAAAGATATTTAATTAATTTTAGAAAAACTGTGTTATGGGCTTAGATTTTCAACAACTGTTGTATGGGCCTTTCCAAACTCAGGCCCAATTATCCGCACTCTTGAAGGATGAATACTCCGGTTTAACCAGATTTCTTCGAACTTCCAAAAACAACATAGGAAGGACATACCTGGTTTTCTCATGCTTGCCGTGTTTTTTCTGTATCAAGTAGCCTTAATTTGCAGACAGATATTCTCCTCTTCAGTCACCACCCGCAGATATTGTTCTCGTCCTCTTTAATCATATCCTCTTTAGTCACCACCCATAGATATTGTCATCTTTAGTCATATCCTCTTTAGTCGCCACCAATAGATATTGTTATCTTTAGTCACCATCAATAGATATTGTCATCTTTAGTCACCATCAATAGATATTGTCATCTTAGTTCTTTCTCTCCAATTGATGTGGGATGTGGGATTTCACAGAGCAGTTTTGACCAGTAGCATCACTAACAGTAGTGATTTCCCTTCCTACAAGCTTGGAGATGAACTTTATAGCAGAATAGTAGTCATTACAAACTGGGTTTTTCATAATTCTCATTTGAAGTCCTGTTACACTCAATAATCAGTCTAGCTATTTCTACTCCATCTGACTATGCATACATTTTTCATATCAAAGCATTGCCAACTGCTTCACAAGTTTCAGTTTCTGTTCTTATTGTTAGACGAACACGACTCTCCACAATGGTATGATATTGTCCACTTTGAGCATAAGCTCTCATGGCTTTGCTTTGAGCTTTCCAAAAGGCTTCACACCAATGAAGAGTGTATTCTTAGATTATGAACCCATTGACCATTCCCTAAATTAACCGATGTGGGACTTTCATCATCCAACACCTCCCCTCGAACAAAGCACGCCTCCCCTTAATCGAGGCTTGACTCCTTTGGAGTCTTAGTCATTTTTGACTGCCTTCGTACCTTCAAAGAGGCTTGACTCCTTTTTGGAGTCCTTTGTTCGACATTCGAGGATTTGCCAATCTATTGGCACGGCTAAGTTTAGGGCATGGCTCTGATACCATGTTAGACGAACACGACTCTCCACAATGGTACGATATTGTCCACTTTGAGCATAAGCTCTCATGGCTTTGCTTTGGGCTTCCCAAAAGGCCTCATACCAATGGAGAGTGTATTCTTAGATTATAAACCCATGACCATTCCCTAAATTAACCGATGTGGGACTTTCATCATCCAACACCTCCCCTCGAACAAAGCACGCCTCCCCTTAATCGAGGCNAGGAGGCTTGACTCCTTTTTGGAGTCCTTTGTTCGACATTTGAGGATTTGCCAATCTATTGGCACGGCTAAGTTTAGGGCATGGCTCTGATACCATGTTAGACGAACACGACTCTCCACAATGGTATGATATTGTCCACTTTGAGCATAAGCTCTCATGGCTTTGCTTTGGGCTTCCCAAAAGGCCTCATACCAATGGAGAGTGTATTCTTAGATTATGAACCCATTGACCATTCCCTAAATTAACCGATGTGGGACTTTCATCATCCAACACCTCCCCTCGAACAAAGCACGCCTCCCCTTAATCGAGGCTTGACTCCTTTGGAGTCTTAGTCATTTTTGACTGCCTTCGTACCTTCAAAGAGGCTTGACTCCTTTTTGGAGTCCTTTGTTCGACATTCGAGGATTTGCCAATCTATTGGCACGGCTAAGTTTAGGGCATGGCTCTGATACCATGTTAGACGAACACGACTCTCCACAATGGTACGATATTGTCCACTTTGAGCATAAGCTCTCGTGGCTTTGCTTTGGGCTTCCCAAAAGGCCTCACACCAATGAAGAGTGTATTCTTAGATTATGAACCCATTGACCATTCCCTAAATTAACCGATGTGGAACTTTCATCATCCAACACTTATAACATAAGCATGTAAACATTTGATAAAACGCTAGCCAAGGTGAGCTTTTCATACCCTGAAATCGTCGAATTACAAGAAACTATGCCCAGAATGCATGTACAATGAAATCAAATCATTCCAAGTTGAAATGTTCTTCAGCATCATCCTGTTAAAAACAACTGGATCTCCACATTTTGCGTACATGTTCAGCAGGGAAGTCGCAACAGAAGCATAGCTACCGAGTCCGAGTTTAACAACAAATGAATGAATCTTCCTTCCTACCAACGTCTAAACCGTGATTTGCCGATCAGGAAGAAAGAACATTACCAGCCGTGGATTGAGACGGTGAGACTCTCTCAGAAATCATCTTCGCAAACATCCAAATGGCATCATCTAAAACACCCAATTGATTGTACCCCACGATGATCGCAGTCCAAGAAACGGGATCGCAATCAGGCATTTCATGTAGAAGGCGACGCGACGACGCATCGAAATTGCCCTATTTGACATACGCAGAGATCAAATTGTTCCATGAGAATGTTCTTAACGGACATTTCATTGAACACATGGTGCGCATCGCTGAATGACCCAGTTTCGGCATAGAACGTCGTAAGATTATTCAACAGCTACACGCCAAGATGAAGGCCTTTCTTGATTGTTTGAGAGTGAACGGACCTTCTGAATCTCTAATCTCTAAACCCTAGGGACGGGTCTGATCACTAATCTCAAACCCTTGCCTTCACGATTGTGTTTAATATTTTCTAAACTTCCTTTTAATTAGCCCATATTCTCTAATTGTATGTTTAATAGATTTAATTAACCTAAAATCATCTCATAAAATTTGTAATTTATCTAATGATATATTAGTTTCTTTTGATTTAATTAATTAGTTAATCAATTCTACCCATTTATTTATTAATATTCTAAAATTAATCATTGATTTCAAATTTGAAGTTATAAACAGCCATTTTCTAGGCTGTATTTGGCAACTTTTAAAACATTATTGAAAGGAAAAAAAAGTGATGTGATGTCCCAAATTGGATGGAGAGGAGAACAAAACACCATTTAAAAGGATTATAAGGGTGTGAAAACCGAAAATCTTCTCTTAGTAGATGCTGCGTTTAAAGCATTGAGGGAAAACCCGAAAAGGAAAGCCCAAAAGAGACAATATCTACTAGTGGTAGATCTGGATTGTTACAGCTTAAGGATTCCTTAAACCTCTTAATACATCATTAAGTATTTTCAACCCAACTTTACCTGTGTTTTAGAGTCATAATCCAACCAGATTAAACTAGAACTATTATTTCCATAATGCAGTGAAGTGTTTCAACAACTCCCCTAAAAAAGCTAAGAGAAACCATTCAGCTAACGTAAATGGAAGCTGAAAAGAAATCCAACGGTTTACAATATCAAAAGCCAGCAGGAGCCCCACCCTTCCGGGGATCACTTACCGCTATGAGCTTCCCCACGCCACCACCTTGTCTTGGTGAGCCAAAATTTTGAACAATGAACTGGCAAATTGTCCCTCCTGCAAGGCCTTCTAAGACATGACCCTTCTTAGCAAGGGCTGCCCTTGTTTGAGCAGGAACTTCAAAATGGTCTCCTAACACGGTTGTCCAGTTCTCATAGGTCAAAACGTTTGGAATCAGCTGTTTGTTTTGAACAATTTGTATTAGTTTCCAATGACTACTAGAAGTGTAAGAATGTCTGAATTGGTGAATTCACAGGAAAATGTTGAGAATTGTTGGGAGGGAGTCCCACATTGACTAATTAAGAAAATGATCATGAGTTTATAAGCAAGGAATACTATCTCTATTGGTATGAAACTTTTTGGAGAAACCAAAAGACGAAAGCTTATGTTCAAAATAGACAATATTATACCATTATGGAGAGTCATGATTCCTAGCAGAAACGATATGAGATAGAGAAGGGAAGCTATAAAACAAACCCGATGATAAACTCTGGGAGCCATCACAGATGAGAAAGGATCCATTCCTTTTGCAAAATGATTCAACACAACCTCTGCTGTTCCTGCAATGATGAAGCCTCCTCCACTTGCACCAACCACACCTTTCAGCTGTCCATTCTGTGCAAGAATTCCACAAAACTTTTCAACTCAGAAGACACATCTAAAGAAAAAAATGAGAGAAATTAGAAGGAAAAAAGGACCTTCAGGACAATAGCCGGAGACATGGATGATAATGGCCTTTTCCCTGGCCTGATGAAATTGGATGGTGCTGGCGGGAGTTTATTAGCAGAAACATTAGCAGGGACAGAAAAATCATCCATTTCATTGTTCAAGATTATTCCAGTACTAGGGGAGAGTATCACTGCTCCAAAATAGTAGTTCACAGTGGTAGTCATGGAGACAGCGTTTCGTTCTCCATCGACGACTGACAAATGACTGGTGCCATGGTCGTGAATTGGATTCCATCTGTTAGAACACACGATAAAGAGGAAAGACTTGGAAAGGTTTCACAAAGATATGCTAGAACAGAAAGGAAATACAAACGAGGGAAAGTGAAGTAATATATGAAGGAGCGCCAACCTGCCGCCGTAATGGCTTGGATCAAAAGTCCTGTTGTCATTGATGGTTTTCTTTAACTTTCTAGCAAACTTGGGCGAAAGCATGTCGGAAAGAACTTTGGAGACATTGTAGAAATTGGGGTCTCCAAGGTTTGTTCTCACGGCAGCTACATGTTTCAATGCTTCAATCTCCCGATGGATGCCAAGAGGGCCCAAAAGCCCTGAAGGCAGTTTATATTGAGCCAGAATATTAAGCATCTGCAGCAGAATGTGTCATTACTAACAAAATAAACTTGAAAAACAACTGCTTCTCAAGACAGAAAACTTACAAGGATCAGTCCAGAACCTCCTGAAGGAGGAGGCATGGTGATTATCTCATGACCCATTGTACGGGCTGATATGGGGACCCTTATTTTAACTCGATAGCTCTGCAAGTCCTTCATTGACAGTATCCCTCCAAGCTTCCTGATATCCCTTATCAAGTTAATACCAATCGATCCATTATAGAAGGCCTGGACACCAAATCTAGAAATAGTTCTTAGAGTTTGTGCAAGTTTCTTGTTGCGGATAACATCTCCCGGTTTCAACAATTTTCCGCCTGATGTAAACAAGTTCCTGAGTCCTTCATCTCCCAAGATTCCTGCTTCTGTTTTAACCATCTGCATATGAAGGTATGGAGATATTTTAAATCCCAAGCGAGCAAGACGTTCAGCTGGTTGAACAAGCCTTGCCCATGGAAGCTTTCCATATTGTTTCCAAGCTTCGTGAAGTCCAGCAAGTTCCCCTGGAACGGCAATGGAAAGGGCTCCGGCTGCTTTCGATGCAACATTGCTAGCATAAATATTCTGTTCATATGTGAAAAGAGATTTAAGAGACTGATTGAATGATGGCACTTGGATAAATGAAGTACCATCAAATTGTGACCAAATGTCACCCACAAGACTTTTTAAGAATATGTTCGTGCAAGTATAAAAAAATGTTCAGAAAACCAGGGACCAATCAGATTCACAAGATAATGAAGACAGGAATTAACAGACACCATTATATCTCAATTCTCATCAGCATTAGACCCAAGAGCTTAAGCCATAAGAACAGAAGGCTTCGTAAAGTTGACTGGTAGCTGACATTTTTAGCGCCACCAAACGCCCAATGCACTGTCACAAATTTTAACTTCAGAGATAAATGAACAGTACGAGCTTTCCAATAACAATTAAATGAGCAAGATTATATGGTTATGGTCCTTCTTTCTTCCTTCTAAAACAGATTAAATTGGAAAATCGAACAAAGGAAATGAAACAAGTGGAGTCAAGTTACAGGACCTCATGAGCAAGCAAAGGTGCAGTCTCCCTCATATCGAAAGCCTGAGATTTTCCACTGGCCGACCTGATCAGCATAAAGGCTCCTCCACCAATGCCACTTGATGCGGAACTTACAACCCCCAAGCAGAGAGCAGCAGCAATCGAAGCATCAACTGCATGGCCTCCTTCCCGTAGAACATCCATACCAATTCTGGAGCATCGAGAGTCATCTGCGGCAACAGCACCATGGCTTGCAACAATAACCTCAGGCCGAGCAATGGAAGTGGGAATCAGCAGCGCAATAGAAACAAGAACAATTATAAGCCACCGCATCAACATTGCTGCAGCCACAAATGCAAACCAGTTTTGATTACTCAGTCAATACTACTAATCAGCTTGATTTATAACCAAAATAAAAAAATGTAAATCACCAACAACAGCATATACATTGACACAGTTTCTGGCGAGTCAAAGTATGATTAAAAAACATCTCACAGGAAAAACACTTCTTTTAAAAAACATATTTTTTAAATCAGCACATTCGAAGATGAATAAAAAATTATGCCAGCAGGTAGATAAATCAAATGATTTTGGTATCTATATCGTGAAACACGGTTCCTCTAGCCATGTTTTGTTCGTGGCTCGAGTACAAGTTTAAATAGAATTTACAACTAAAGATATTGGTGTATTTGTTGAGTTTAGAAGTTTATTTGGCAGAAGAATTTGAGATCTGGATTTGATATGGAAATTCTTGTTTGGTAGTAAGTTGGAAATTTTTTTTTGGTAGAATCTACCTTCTTAAAAATGACAAATCAGAACAGTTTTTCCAAAGGAAGAAGTTACCATAGAGATGGGATGATTAGAACAAGTGAAAGAGGAGGCTTAGAAAGAGAGGGATGCGTAGAGAGATGGGAACAGAGCATATGAATATAGAGAGATACAAAGATGCCAATACGATTAATTATTTGATAAGATCATCACAATGTGATCGTTCGGTTTTACAGTTGGATCAGATGTACATAAAGAAGTACCTTAAATCTATGTCTAATAGTAATTAAGTGCAGGGAAAATATTGAATTTACATCCAACGATTATTATGAGGTAGCGAATTTGTTTACAATTTACTATCCAGATGATCGAACACCAGTAGGATACATTCAACTCTCCTAATAAAGTCTTATCAGTTTTCTCAAAAGAGAACTTCTACTTTTTGAAAACCTATCCAAATTCCAAGAGTCCATCATTGAATATAAAGAACAGAGCCCGTGACAATTGATCGATCAAACAGTTTTAGAAAAGGGGCGTCCCACGTTACTCACTTGGCATTTATTGGCTAAATAAGACGAATGAGCTCGAATCCACCTTTTCCTGATGGCTTCTCGTTTTCTTCGTCGTTTAATTCAGCATCAGCTTTGATTTTCCTGCCAGTTTAAGAGAAAAAAAAAAAAATAATAATCGCAGTGAGATGCTTACGTTGAATTGGGCGGAAAATAGGAACGGATGAGTACTTTTCATAATCGACGACTTTGATGACAATCTATGGTAGCTGTTTTTTATCAAATGAATAAAGATTAGGGACCAGAATTCCATTAAAGCGACTTCGTGGAAGTTTACTTTACCTTCTAATTTCTGCGCAACACGTTTCTCCCGCTGTTCGTTTCAGATCAGGTTCCGAAATTTCAAGGGGCAGAGCCATGATCCTCAGTATCCATTGGGGTAGAGCCATTAACCGATTCTTCCTCTATCTTGCCGCCATTTTTATCTCTCGTGAACTTTGAACAGTTTAAATAACTTTTTTTTTTCCTTTTTATGAAATTATTTAAAGAAACATTTTTTTTGGGTTTAAATACTTTTTTGTTCTTGATTTTGTCCCTTTTGGACTTTATATTTTCGTAAATAGATAAATTTGGTTCTTTTATTTTTATTTTTTACAATTTATTTAAAATGATCCAATAAAAAAAAATATAATTTTTAAAAACTAAAAAATAAATAATCAAAGGTTATCCATCAAATATTAAATGAGTTACAAGTTGTATTGAATTATTCATAGAATTATATGTGACGTTTTCTCAACTTTATATTATATGAATTTAATATTTTCCATTCTTGTTTTTTTTTAATTAAGCTTTAGATTTTATTGTTATGTTATCTATTTTCAAAAAAAAAAAAAAAAAAATTAAACTAAAAAAAAAAATAAATAATTTTAATTTTAAAAAACTCAAATGATTATCAAATATTTAATAAAATAGAATGTATCGCTTAAATTTAGGAATTTGAAAAACAATAATACAACCAAAAAAAAATTAAATATACTTTTTTATTTAATTTAGTCATTTTATTTTAAGCCTAGATTAATAAATAATTACAAATGTATGTATAATAGATAGTATATTGATACAATTGTTGAAATGACATTATATTATTTAAATTAAGAAATATTATTGTTTTAAAGTGCGTGATAATTAAATAATATGTTTCAGAAGTATCGGGACTATCAAATAAAATTTAACAGACAAACAGAATATTTTATGTTTTTTTATTTAAGAGAATGGACCCGACCCGACCCGTTTCTGCAATTTTAAAATCTCACTTTAATAATTAATTATTTTAAAAAAATTGTGTATAGTTTAGAATTTTTTTTATATTACTTGGTTGGACTGAATTTCGTTTGGGCTTATTTCATTACTGCTTGACGCGGCCCAGTTTGGGCCCATTATAATATCCGTTCTATTCATTATTCCATTCAAATTAATTTCCCCCGCCCGATTTTCCCCACGTCTAACCTCGCTCCTCGGGCCGGAGCGGAAGAGGAGGACATCACCTATTGCGCGGCAGTACACCGGCACAGTTTAATCCAATATTTCTGTCTCCGGTGATTAGCTTTCGTCGAGTTTTGGAAACCAATTGGTAGAAATTCAGGCTATTTGACTTTAATTTGTATTTGTTTATGTCAATTACCACTGCGAACTCTCAATTACTGTCATTATGCACTACATCTAGGGGTTTGGAAGTTTTTGTTCGGTTTTCAATTTATGAAAATCCAGTGACGAAGTGTATGGATTCGTTTAAGAATGCCGCAAAGTGAGTAGTCCAAAGGATTCAAGAGAGATTTGTTTCTGAACATGGCAAGGCGAAAGGCGAAGAAAATTGTCAAGAAGTCTAGCCCTAGGGAAAAAGAAAAGGACGAAGCAGAAAATGAATTAAAAAGTGAGGAGCAAGCACCTTTGGTTTCTGACGAGGACGGTATGTTGAAATTGATTCTTATTTTCCGAAGCCTGAACTTAATTTTGGGAAGGAAAATTGTTTTGCGTCTCTTTCAATGACAATTGTTCGTTGAATTTATATTTTTCCGCTGCTTTTGCCTTCATTTGTGTATAGTTGAACGACATGCTGCTGCAATTCGCGCCATTCGGGATGTGGAGATCGAGCGTTTGATTACTGAATTGCGGTTGCTTCGTTCGTATTTCAACAAAGAGCAATTGCAAACTCCTCTATTGCAATTTTTCAAGGAGAAACTTCCAAACTTGTCCATTTCTGGAAAAAGCGAAGTAGGAGAAATTGAAGTACAGTGGAAGGAAACTGAAAGTGAATTACGCGCCAATCCAGTTGATGGAATGGATGTACACGCTTCTCTCTTACATCGTCTGTCCATAGCTTATCCTAACTACTCTGCTGGAATGCGATCTTTAAATGGATTTGAATTTTCCAGTAAATCAGGTATATGTAGATTTTGGATTATGGTGCATAAAACGAACGGCTAAGATGCTCCCTTATTTGATGCTTGTTTGCTGCAACTCACCGTATTTTCTCTACTGGTGGCAGTGAAAACAAATCCTTTCAATGTTGAGAGCCTGCAAATTCCGAGCTTGGTAAGTAATTTTGCGTTTGATACCTTAAATTGTTTACTTCAAATTCTTTTCTTTAGATCAGTAAAATGAATGATACCATGTGAGCTCACAAAATTTGTTTTAGTTTGGCTATGTCTCTTGTTTCATGTTGTTTATTTGGTGAAGCTGAAGATTGTCTTCTCGTCGGATGTGAAGATGCTCGGTATTGACTGATATATTTATTGATAATTCTGCTTTTTAGGTTTTGGAGGCAGAGCCCTCGGATAGTATGATGCTTGGAATGACAGATATTCTCCAAACTCCTGGGGTTAGAATCTTCACGTTTTTTGCACAACTTATTGCATTAACTTTGTCTTGTTAATACCCTAGAGTTGTTTGTTATTGGTATTTTCCAGAATTTGTTACATTGTTGTTGACTCAAATCTAGGTACATAGTGGTGGTCTTGGTCAAAGGAACAAAGTTACTGTATTGGTAGCGTGTCTGTTATACATTATGCATTTTTATTTTTATGTTCAATGCTTATCTCATTTCAAGTTATTTTATGTATATATATATATATATATATATATATATATATATATATATATATATATATATATATAAGAAACAATTTGATTGACAGAATGAAATTTAGAAAACAATTCAGGGAAAGTCTTGACCGGAGGTGCAAAAATGAATTCCAACGAGTACAAAAGTTAGTAAGGCTATGACTAGAAAACAGCTTGAAGTTTATTACACTCAGCTTCGCGAGGTCTCATGGGGAATTGTTTCAAAAAAGTCTTTTTATCTCATTTGAAAAAGATCGAGTAACATGTTTTGATACTCTTTTCTTCGAATCTAATTTTGCTTTTATTTAGTGTATTATTACAATAAGCTAACTAGTTCTACTTTCATAGGCAAGTAACCAAAGATTGTCCATTGGAATGACACCGAGAACCCGAAGGCTTCCAAAGCCCGGTGAGATGCTTGTATCTATACACGGATCCCCCCTTGGTGTTTATAAGGAAGACAACATGGAAGCAATACATGGTACGTACATATAGGTCATATGTAGACAATGGAGCGTTTCTACGCTTTAATTTGGCCAAATAAGTTGGTGGGTATATATACATTTATCATACTTCTGCATGTTTCTAATACATAAAATAATGTGCAGAATCAGATGAGGATTGATTATCCCTGATTTGAGGCCACTTGACAGCTTGTCAAAAATGTAAAATTTCAAATTTTTATCAACCCTTTTGTATTGTATCCAACATTTTGATTACTCTCATATTAAGAGCTACTCGTACAAGGTGTATAACTAAGATTTAGTGTTACTTTACTCAAAGAAACGAGTGTAAGGTTATGATATCTGGTTTAATTTGATTGCTTTTCATATTAATCATCCCGTTTTTACCATATGCATCCATCACTCCATTAAGTGTATATATATATCAGCTGAAACAATGCTCTCGTCAAGATCTTTAAACAATGCATCAACTTAGTTCCACTTTGAACAAGCGCTCTGGTAAGAATGTTGTAAGTAACAATGTTGGGCTTACATCGTTCCATTCCCTTCATGTTCTCAAAGTACCAAAGAACTTTAGCCAAAGCCTTTACTTTGTTTGGCTTACATCACTCCATACTCCGTGTTTAGCTCTGATATCACTTGTAACAGCCCAGACACATTGGCAGCAGATATTGTTCGTTTTAACTTATTACGTATTGCTGTCAGCTTCATGGTTTTAAAATGCGTCTACTAGGGAGGTTTTCACTCTTGTAGAGAATGTTTCGTTTCCCACCGATGTACCATTCGATTTTGGCCCTTTGTTTCCCATCATAGATATTAGTCTAGAATAAACCCCGTCATCCACTGTATACCAATGTTGTTTCTGCATCCATCTGAAGACCTGAAAATGAAATACATCATCAAAACACTCATGCCTCTCTCAATAGCAGAATTTTGCTTGCTTAGTCTCACCCAAAAATATTGACACTCCATTCTTTATCCATACCAAATAGAACTTGAAATCAATCAACTCTGCCTGTGAATAATTTCATCATTACCCATCTTCTGGCACTCAACAGAGCAAAAAAAGCCAAATTCAGAGTTCATATAGGAAGAATAGCGAACCTCGAGGCGTACTGGTCCGATGTCTTGAGCGATGGTTCTTTGTTGCTGAACTTTCTAATTACACCGCGAACCAGATCTTCAGCCTCCAACCTGTCCGTCTTAGCCGCAGATTTTCTCTTGGGTCGAGTCGAAATGCAGACCACTCGGGTCGCAACGGCCATCCTCAGAGACGATGGGAGTGGAGGTCATGGCTGAATCAGAATTAAGAAAATATTGGTCGGAAAAAAAAAAAGAACAAAAAATTGAACCCGACGTGAATCGAACACGCAACCTTCTGATCTGGAGTCAGACGCGCTACCATTGCGCCACGGATCCACTTGTTGTTAATCTTGCTTATATATTTACTTATTTTATTACTTTGACAGTTTTTTTTCCATGTGACCATTTAATTATTTTAGTTTATTATTAAGCTCGGGATCCTTGATTAAAAAATAGAATGACATAATATTAATTTACAAAAGAAAAAAAGTTCATATTAGATCTAAATTCTCATAATTTTATTGCCAAAAGTCTTATACCAATGAAAGTGAAACTTTATTCTAAACCGTTAAAATTTTATTTATTAAACTATATATATGTTAAAATATGAATAATACGTCTACAAATCCTTTATAAGTATCTTTTCTTAATGGAGAATTTTATAAGAACGGGATGGAGATGAGAAAGCTTCGATATAATGAAATGAAAATGAGAAGAGGCAGACATTGAAAGTGAGCAACATTTTCTTCAATTAACATCAAACTGAAACCTTGTAGGGAAAAAGAAAAAAATCAATGGATGGCTTGGCTTGTCCATTTACAAGAAAATTTCATGGAGAGAAAAAAATGGTGACAATTAGCCCAAAATCAGGAGGCTGAAACAAATACGAAGTAAAAAATAGGAAGCAAAAACAATTGGGTCGAGGAACGCGGAAAAAACTAATTCCAAGACGCATGTACACAAGGAGGAGGTGGGTGGATGATGGAAGATGATCAAACAGATATAGCGCATAAATCATCCAAGACTTGTCTGATGTTAGGCCTCTCATTTACAGGGAGAATGCACCTGAGGGACACACCCAGCAGTTCATCCATCGCTTTTGTAGGCTCTTCTTCTCCGACGACAATATCTCTGTCTATGCAGTCCATTCTTCGTCCTTCTTGATCACATAGACGAACCCAATCAGTGAGATCTACAGCCCCAGATTGGCCTGATATTATGTCGCCTGCACTTCTTTTGGTTAAAAGCTCCATTAAAATCACCCCAAATGAATAAATGTCAGCCTTGAAAGATGGGCCAGGTTTTGCCGCACAAGCCAGTTCTGGAGCACAATATCCAAGTGCTCCTAGATTCAGTATCTGCTCCGCAATGCCTGCTGGTGTCATCAAGCGGTGAAGGCCATAGTCAGTGAGCCGGGCATCAAAATCACGGCCTGCCAAGATTATATTTGTTGGCTTTAAGTTTCCATGGGGGAGGCCCCTATCATGAAGATATAACACACAACGAGCAACTTCCACTGCAATTTTAAGTCTCTGGCTGAACGACAACCGAGAGTACCTTCGAGGTGTGGTTTCTGCCAAAATCCAAACAACACAATGAATCATTAACACACACAGTAGTAGTCTTGGAGAGAGTCTGATTGCAAGTGAACATACGTCTGCAAGACGTATACAAGCACGTGAAGGGTCGTGCTATTCTAGTGTTTATTAAAAAAAAAATCCACAAGTTCCTTGCAAACTTGGCAGGAATTCATGTTGCCAAGCGCAGGCTAAACATTCTTATGCCCATTATAAACTCACATTCCAAAGAACAATCTTTGGACGTGGTAGTAATAAACAAGATACAAGTATAATAAGAACATAGAGACAGCATCCAAAACAGGCCATTTTCAATTGTTGTGCGGTCATTCTTTCAAAGATAAAGCAAAAAATCCCATCAAAACTGTACGAAATTCAGGTTCAAAGAAATGGGAACACCTTCAAAGATAAGTTTAAAAGTTTTTAGTAGTTTGTTGAATCTTGCACCGTTTACTATCAACTACACAGGACGACGGGCAATAAAATTCAGCAGTTTAATTTGAAAGAAGAAACTATCCTGGTCAAGTGCAGTTCCATACAGTCAGCAACAGTAAAATATATTGGAAAAAAGAATCCAAACATGATAAGAAAGTTCAAACACTCTTACCGTAAAGATGTAAGGCTAAGCTATCTCCCAAAATATAGTCAACTAGAAGAAGCCGCTCTTGTTCTCTGGGACCCCAATAATAAGCTCGTAAAGGAACAATGCTCTTATGCCTCATTGATCCAATTTTTTTAACTTCCTTGGCAAATTCCTTCTTATGTTTGACCAGTCCGACACGTAACCACTTAACAGCCAGCATATGTCCACTATCGAGAGTAGCTTTATATAGTGTTCCATGGCTGCTTCTACCAAGAACTTCAGCCGGAGCTCTGGATAATTCCTCAGCAGTGAATAGCAGTGAATTGTCTAGAAAAAACAATTCTCCAGCTAATCGATCTGGTGAATACACATCTAGTGTCACAGGTTGTTCACGCCCATCAACAAACTGGTGTGAGGAAGATAGTGGGGATTCTGGGGAAGAATTTTTCCCAGAAGTAACGGGATGATCGTCGAGCAAATTAGGAATAATCATCGATGAACTTGTTGCAGCACCTCCAGGTAAAACATGTTCAGAAATCTCAGATAAGAATTCTGCTTGCCCTGATAATGATCTTGAAGTGGAGGTTAGTAAATGGTCATTTGACAAACTTGAAGAGGTTGGTGGAGGCTGATTGTTTGGTTGAAATTTGAAAAGAGAAGCCCCGAAATGTTCTATCTTAATGTCCCCCTCAGCACCTTGGCTGCTAAATATACTTCTTCCATGGAAATCTTTAAGTTGTGCTCTATGATAGGCCAGTAAAAGAAAAACAATCATCACAACTGCTCCAACTGAGGCAAGAATAATAGCTATTTGGATGTTAGCTTTAGGAGTATGATGTCTTCCTGGCTCGGAGAAATTATTTGGAATCGTGTTCTGAGGACCTATATCTTTTGGTAAGCTAAGTTTACCATTTCCAGGACGAAATGATGAGATAGGGAAGTTTCTTAGATTCTCTGGAACGTCACCTGAGAGATCATTGTAGGACACGTTAAAAACAAGTAGATTGGGAAGCATATCCGGGATTTTACCGGTAAATTTGTTGTTTGATAAATCAAGATACTCCAAGTCAATCAATCTGTTCAATTGAACAGGAAGCGATCCTGATAATTCATTCTTGGCAAGATTTAGCAATTTGAGCCTCACCAACTTATCTATCTCAGCTGAAATCCCACCAGTCAAGGAATTATTGGATAGATCAAGATATTCCATTGGCAAGTCTGAAGGTTTAACTAACAACTCACTAACACTTGAGCCTTGAAGGGGAATGGGACCCGTAAACCGGTTTCCTGAAAGATTGAGGCTGATCAAGGTAACAGATGATAAGAAACTAGCAGGGATCGTACCGCTAAGAGCATTTAAACTGAAGTCAACAGCAGATAAACTAGGAGAGCTCCCCAATGTAAACGGCAAAGGGCCAACTAAGAAATTATTTCTGACATTAAGCACCTTTAATCCCTCAAAGAAGGAAGTTGAGTTTGGGAAACTTCCTGAGAATTTGTTTGAACTTAAATCAAGAACCTCAAATTTGGCTTCCCAATTCTGCATAATTGATATGTCGCCAGATAAAGCATTTGATGAAAGATCCAAAAATTTCAAAGTAGACGAGTTGACGTGAAGAATCGAACCTGCAAGACAAATAATGAATCACATTCAGAAAGTGTAACGAACATCAAGTCACAGATGACAGTGTATGATCAGAAAATCAAAGTACAAGTTCATATCAGACAATAAAATTGGTCACAGGGTCATCATCATATAGTAAGAAAGATAATCTAAATGATCCTTTCTTGAAACCTGTTGAACTGAATTAGATTATCTATGAACACAACTTCATCGTTCATGTGACTTACTGATTTCAGGCCAAACATCACCAAAAACATCAAAAAGGAAAATAGAAACCATGATAGGAGATCTAAGTTGAATGCACCATCTAACAGTCAATCAATCTCCAGTGAACCATAAATAGTGGGGTAAGAGTAAGACAAAGCGATTCTTTACCTGTAAATGCATTGCCACTAAGATCCAATTCCTCCAATTGCAAAGACCTGTTTAACAGTTCTCCAGGCACCAAGCCGGATAAGAGATTATTACCAAGCCTTAAAATCCGCAGATTAGGCAAGGCCCCAAATGAAGGCAATTCTCCTATAATCTGGTTATGACCCATATCCAAAAGCACCAAGTTTCGAAATAACATGAGAGAGTCAGCGTCAAAGAACCCACCATTCAATCTATTGAAACTTACGTTGAAATTCTTCAAAGTATTAGCCAGACTAGAAATGCTCCCGGAGCCAACTGAAACTCCACCGTAGAACTCATTGTCGCTTAAATCAACATGTTCAACATTCCGCAGCTGAGAAACCAACAGGCCAATGTTCCCATAAAGTCGATTAGAGTGCAAATCCAATACCTTGAGCTGATTAAGATTTAATGTACCAACTGGAAACCCACCACTGAAGTGATTTACAGAGAAATTAAGATAGTTCAGATTGTAAAGATCATTGATCCGCGCTGGGATCGGCCCGTAAAATCTATTCAAAGACAGATCCAAATGCTGCAGACTATATAGTGTCCCAAGAGCTGGAACAAGCCTTCCAGTGAAATCATTCCCAGAAAGACTTAAATTCTTAAGGCTCTTAAGCCCAATCAGAGTCTGAAACTTCAACTCCCCTCCCAAGCCTAGATGGTCCAGCACAATTGCAGACACATTACCGTTCTCATCACAAGACACGCCAGTCCAGGACAAAGGACAACCATCGGAGTTCGAAACAAAGGCCAAATCCCACTTCCCCTGGAGCGAGTTGTGCGGATCTTTCTGAATCCCCTTCTTGAATTCAAGCAGGCAGTTGAGTTCAGAATCAGAGGCTGCGGAAACCAAGACGATAAGGAGATAAACGAAGTGAACAGAGAGAACTCCGTGGCATAAATAAGAAACGAGATTCATTGGTGACAATGTGGGAAACCCTAATAATTCATCGACGGATTTTGCCCACACTAGAAGAGAAGAGTACTCAAAACCCTAGAACCAGACCGAACGTCAAGAAAAGAAGAGAGAGAAAGTTGAGATAGAAGCGGAGTATATACATCAGAATCCAGACAACGAAGAGAGAGAGAGAAAGAGAAAGCGTTAAAAATGGCGGTTTTGGTCAGATGTGAAAGCCAAGTAAACCACAGTCAAACAAAAGGACAAAGCTCCAAAACAACTCGCCGGCTCCGAATCCATCTCCATTCTTCTGTCCTCTCCTCCCGCCGGTACTCTCCTCCGTCGCTTCACATGCTCTCACCTCCACAATAACGCCGACTTGACGCCGTCAGCACAAAAAAGAGTAAAGGTAAGAAGATTTTAGGTCAACAGAGATGGCTTCCTGTTTCTTCTTTGTTCTTCTACTGGTCGTTGATGTCAGGGCTGCTGGACTGAGAAGACGAAGGCAGTGCCAGTGAAGGGGAGGAGGAATCAGCCGGCGTTAAGAGGATTCCTTCTTCTTCTTTCTTTCTCTATCCCTCAGTTCCGCAGATAATCATGGAGGTTTTGATCGTAATGGAGGTGGATAACAGCTAAGCAAAATTTCTTAATATTTTTCTTACTTATCAAAAATAGTGTTTTATTTTTCTTTCAATTACAACAAATAAATTCCTCTGCTTTTTCTAATTCTTTCTTGGAAATTTACTAAAATAAGTAAATTGTACATTTATTTTCTTTTTTCGTCTTTTTTTTTTTTTAATATTTTGAAAAAGACCAAGATGTCCTGTCTTTTTCTAATGCCTAGATGTCTTCTTAAACATCCAACTTCTTGGACAAATAATGTCCCATAATTGACCTAGATTTATTTTCATAAATTTTGTTTCTCATTTTTGTCTTAATTTTTAAAATATATCTCACCAATCTCAAAATTAAAAATTTATAAAATAATTTAATTTTGTTAATTTGGAGAGGTAAATTCATAAATTTAAACCATCTACCTTCGAAAACGTTGAAAAATTACGAATATCTTAACTATGAACCGTTCGTTTTGTAAATTCAGTCGAACAAAATATTTTATATTATTATTACTATTTTAATTCATAATTATATTATTATGAAAATATATTTGGTTTTTTTATATTTTAGATGGCATCTTTTTTTTTTTTTTATAGATAACTTCTTTTGTTCTTAATTTTCAAAATTTTTATGTGTGAAAGAAGAATTAAACTTTTAATTCTTCGCTTAATAATATGTTATAATAAATCAATTTATGCTCGAGTTTCCACTTGATTGATTATTTTAATATTAAATTATTTATTTAATCTATAACATTTAATTTTGAGTTTTTTTATTTAAAAAATGATCATTTTTTAAAGTTTCATTTAATGTGAAATAAAACTCTAGACTTGTAATTTTATTGTGTAAAAGAAGGTAAAATATATATTTTTTTAATTCTGAAAATAGTTTGAAATGAATTCTAAATCAATTTCACGATTATTAATTTTTAAAAGAAAAAATAACAGGATAAATTATAATCGAAATTAATGACTTAACTAATTTGATATTGGTCGCTTAGATTACATGGCTTTTTTGTTTTTATTCCTTTTATTCTTTATTTTCTCTCTCTCCGTCCAATTTCCAAACTCTTCATTTTCTCCGATGGGTATTATCGTCGTTGCCAACTACCGGCGATTCGTCGTTTCAGCAACCGTTCCCCGTCGCCGTTTCTTCACTACTGCGATAAACACATGGTTTTCCCTTTAAAATTTCCACATAAAAAATGCAAAAAAAAAAAAAAAAAAAAAAAAAAAAAAAAAAAAAAAAAAAAAAAAAAAAATCACCGTCCATCGGTGCAGGCTTGGAAATGTTGAAGAGAAGGTCTAATCAGAACCAAAATCGTCAGCTTCTTCTTCCTCCATCGCCGCCGGAAACGAGCCAATTAAATGGAAAATCCGAGTCTTGGCGGCGCCAACTCTCCACCCCTAATCGCCTTTTGATGTTAGGAATCACGACTCTTTACAAGGATATGATATTGCCTTTTAGTGTTGAGAATCACGACTCTTTACGATAGTATGATATTATCCACTTTAAGCATGCTCTTATAGTTTTGTTTTGGGTTTTTCTAAAATGCCTCGTACCAATATAAGTTACTTTACTCACTTAAATTGACTAATATGGGACTCCTCCTTGCATAGTCTTGAGTCCAATCACTGTTAAATGATTAGCTTAACTTCTTCAAACTTTTTTGGGTTTGATTATTTTAGGTGCATGGTGTTAGATGAACACGACTCTTCATACTTTGAGCATGAGCTCTCATGATTTTGTTTTGCGATTTCCCAAAAAATCTCACACCAAGATAGTATTTTTTTAATTATAAACTTATGATCATTTCCTAAATTAGTTGACGTGGGACTTTCATCCAGCACGTGGGAGCTAAAGAAGGACGGCCGAACAGAAGCAAATATATAGAGAGAGAGATGGATTGTCAGAGATAATCAGACGCTTCACAATGGTATGATATTATCCACTTTAAGCATAAGCTTTCATGATTTGCTTTGAGTTTCTTCGAAAGGCCTGTTCAAATGGAGATAGTAGTACTCAAATTATAAACACAAATCAAACCTACACAGAAATAGTTGTTAATGATTTGCTACAGGAAGGACCGATTGTTGATGTCAACGAGGATAACACCCAGTGGAGAGACGAAGAGGAAGACGTTGAGTGAGAGATAAAAGAAATGGTAAAAGAAAAATCCATGCAATCTGAAAAAATAATATAGAATTAGTAAAGGCCATCCACCATTTAAATTTTGCAATTAACTCACCTAACATTTATAATCATTTTTCAAATTTAAAAAATTAAAAAGTATACCAATTCAAATTTCAAAAACTTAACCAAAAATATCAATTTTGACAACATTTTCCATTATTATCATTGAATGAAATATGCTAAAAACAAACAAATGTAGTTGTCCTATATGGTTTAAAGTCAATGAAGAAGCCAAGACACAAGTCTCTATCATTATCTTTAATTTATAACATATTATCATGATTAATTTTAAGTATTTCATCAATGACTCAAATAAATAATTTAATTTGAAAATTTAAAGTTGAAATTGAATATATAATATAATAATTATTATAATAAAAATATAAATTATATTCAAATATTGAATTAAAAATTATAATAAATATACACTCGTCTAATCAACAAACTTCGCATCAAAATTTTCACCATCTTAACGAAGTATTTAAAACTAACTCATACGACTTTTCCACTAAAAAAAAAATTCTTTCAAAAAAGCACTTTCTAGTAATTTACAAACATTTGAACATGTATTTGAAAAAGAATACCAATAATTAAAAGCAATGACCATATAAAAACACTAAAAATTTATCACATTTGCATTGCCAGTTTGGCCTTTGTGAAAATTGAGCAGCGAGAATACCTGGCAGTTTTGGCCTTATTGCTGGCCACATTCTCTCTTGAACACGCACACAGCCATCCACCAGAGCTCTACAAGTGGCAAATCTGTGGCTTTTTTAGGGTAAAAAAAGGTGCCCCCACCTCTTTTTCTCATAAGCTTGCCTTCATCCAAACCCTGCTTTTACCCTGAACATTCAACAGATGCACAAGTTCATCTGATAAAACTCTTGATATTAACAGGGCAAAAGGTGATTAGATAAAGAAGAAATCAGCCCTCTAAATAATGATAGGAAATTTCCAAGAGTATTATTTTTTGGTTCCACAAGAAGAAGTATGGCCCAAGCCAACTATGAGAAAACTGGTTTCTCAAGCAATGTGTAATTAATATTATAAGTTTGATTCCTTCCAAACAGGCTTAAAAAAAAATCACAATTTCATATTGTGAACCTTTTTGGCAGTTCAAGCAAAAATTAAGGTTTCTGTACTCAAAAGGCAATTTTTTTTTATTAAGAATGAAGTCGACCAAATTTGGGAGAACTGGAAAAGCTCTATCCAAGGTGTAATAGAATTCCTAGAACGTGTAACTAAATGCCTTTAAGAAAAACCATCAACAATTTAAAGCAGTGGGAATTTCAATGTCATGTCAGAATATATAAACAAGGTTCAGAGTAGTTAATGGAGTCTAGGTAAATACATTTATCACAATTTATTTTACAAACCCATCCATTATTTAAATACTATATATATCTCAACTTGCAATATTATATGGATTTAAGACTCCTTCCCTTTAAAAAAGGCCATGGTAGCACATTACCTAACACGCACACACACATATAAAATGATTCCCTGTAAAGGATAGAGATTATAAAAAGATGCAATCACATTGTGACTCTTCTAATATATTGACCAAATCAATTGGTTGTATTGTTCACGATTTTCTACATAAGATCTGCACGACGTGATTTCGATGGCAGAAAATGGCATCTTAGGTGACTTTCATATTGACCAAATTATTCTGTCATATTGTTCATAATTTTCTGCATAAGATCTGTACTAAGTGATTTAATTGACAGAAGATAGCATCGTATAAGTAAGCAGCAGCTAATGCCTGTTCATAATCTGATGCTCTAAGATGATTCATTTGAGTTCCCTATTTAGTCAATAAGTTCGCAAAATAATTAACAAAATAAAGGTCGAACCTGTAGGCTGGCGGTGGGGGGCGAGTGAGTGGCTAGCAACGTGAGCGTGGATCAGCAACCAGACCAAGAGAGAAGTGACAGCTCGGAGAATCTTGAAGATAAAACCAAATTAATAGCAACTTTCCACGCACCTCAGCTCCCTTCATTTTGTTTATGGATGCATTCGACAGAGGCACCAAGAAAGCCAACCCATTTCCTTGAGGGTCGAGCTTCGCTGCCAAGGAATCAGGCGACAGGTCAAAAGCAAGCTCAATTTCACAAAAGCACATCTATCAAAAAGATTAGAAATTAGTTGTACCAGTATAATATTTTTGTCTGAAGAAGCTTTCAAGATCTTGTCTTGTCGGTGCATGTCTAGTTTCTGAATCCCATCATCTGAAGCTTCTTCATCTTATAAAACGCCACTTACTCCTAGTTTGACAGCAAAACTTTCTCCACTCAATGAGATCCCTAAGATTTGCTATCTTTCTGATTTTCTTCTTCTGCTTTGCTCTGGTTGGGCATGGACGTGCAAAATCCAATGAACTAGTGGTGGGTTCCATTAAATCCTTCCATTTGGTAAGCCTCTCTTTCTGTGTCTCTGTTTCTCTCTTTCTCTGAGTTCATACTGTATAAAATGATGGTTCTTACATTAGGGGCAGACACAGGGAAGATCCAAGTGTCAAGATGTTAGTGATGAATGCAAAATGGGGGGAGGCAGAAAAGAGAGTGTTTTTGAACATGAAGACTATGTCTACACTCAATCTATTCCTTAGTTTATGCAAACTCCATGCAATCTAAATTTCTTACTTCAGTGGCAGAGATAATAAGAGAATCATAACCTGTGTCCATGCCTCATTTGTCAAGTAGCAGCAGCAATTCACAAGCAGTTTAAAGCTTCAAACTTCTTTCCTTTGTGGAAACTGCAACTCCTCTGAAGATGACGTTTCTGGCTGCATGGTAAATAGTGCCTTTGTATTTGCAAAATAAAGGGAAGGTATTGGTGTGAAAATGGTAAATGTTAAGTGCGGAGGAGGATGGGATAAAATAAAATGTTCCAAACATGAAGGCTGTCTTCAGCCAACAACTCTTTCGATTGTGCAAAGTTCCATAACTCATGCTGTCTAAAATATCTACTCAAATGAGAATAATTACAGTGTAAACGAAACTCTTCTAATGAGTCGAGTATATACCTTTTCCAAGTAACTGTAGTTCATAACGAGAACTGAAGTTTCAACCTTAGTGGTACCTTTTTGCAGTCCACTTGATTCTGGCGCGAAAGATGGATGAGAGAATGAAACAAGCAAAAAAAACATGACCCCAGAAATGGGATTTAGAATTAAGTTATCTATTGCATCTACATATTATATACATAAACGATGGGAGGAAAATAATTCAATGTTGCAGCATTCTGCATAATACATTAACATTTTCCAATATCTAATGAAAACGGTACATACATTATTCCATATTTTCACCGACTAATTGTTTAAACTATAACTGCTGCCAGACTCGATGACACACCTGTGGAGTGCTTATGAGGCAAGCTCAAAATACTCAGAAAACAGAGCTGGTTAACCAACCATATGGAGAAAATCAATTCGTATCATATGATTTCAGTAAACTCGGAAGAAGTGCTCACGTTTTCAACCCAAATCATCTAATGTAATCTTTAGATGATGTATACCTCAGGCTACAGACCAGAGCTTTCAAACAACTATGTGATGATGAATTGTAAGCAGATTCATTTGCTGTGGTGATTCATAACTCTGAAACCTGAAACATGTCCATTTGGAAGGTCGTGATGTTCAGGATCACTTAAATTCAACATATATTTTCAAGGAATTGTATCCACGTGCGAGGGCAATGCCATGTCACGAAAGGGCAGGAAGAGGGGAGGCGGTAAGGAATTACTTACCTATTTTTCACGCGGTTCCTGTTATCAACTTCTCCCGCTCATCTATTCTTTTGACTTTGATAAGACCGATGAGGACTTGGAGCCCAAAAAAGGCACAACATATGTAGGCAATAGTGGCAGGCATCTGAAAAAAGTATAGCAACTATTCAATAATCATAAGGCAATAAAGATGGCAGCAAGTTTAGAGAAAACAAGAGCACCTCTTACCCGAATAGAATTGATATATAATATTGTTGCAAGGTTGATTAGGCTTCCAGCAGCTATTGCCTGTTAATGGTCAAAAGATGGGATATTGAACTTGCCAGAATATAATCATTCCAACATATGCAGAAAGTTGTACAAATATTCGTCTATAACTCTTACAAAAAAAAAATATATCTGGATCTTGGTAGACCTCCCAACCTTCATACGTAGAAGGATGGGAGGTCAATAAGATCTCTATGGATCCCAACTGATAATGTGGTCGAAATATGTTAACATGCAAACAAGCCCACCAGGCAAGCATGTGAAACAACTGAAAAACTCACATTTCCTAGCGTCTTCTGAACTGTTGCAACACGTTGGAATGCTCTTTCAGATTCCAAAGCCCGAACTCTAAGCTTGAGATCACCTTGCTCCTGTTGATTAAATAAAATTCAGGTCCAATATGAAAGTTACATCTAAGGTCTGACATGCCCATTGATTTCAGGGAAGGTTTGTCATCATTACCAGTCTTTGGATAACTTCAGCAAGTTTTTCAACTCTTTCGGCCTGTCTAAATAAGTTATAGAATGCACGAGACTGCCTATCCCATCTCTTTCTGAAGTCCTGAACGTTTGTAGGATTGAAAATCAAGCTCGCAATAAGAAAATTATGTGAAATACGACGAAGTGGAAAAGGACAATCATGTTTACCTTCACGGCAACCTCAACTCCAGCTTCCCGAAATTTCAATAATTCCAGAGCATATCTAAATGATGAGCATAACGCCATGTAAGATAAACAGAAAAACTTTCACATCCTAAAATGTCAAGATTAGAGGAGTTTAAAATATTGTAAGCCCTGACAAAACTCACGGCTTGGCAATTTCAGTAATATCAAATCGTGGGTCGAGGCCTTTCCCAATGCCATCTAATACTGCAGGAATAGTTTGTTTTTCAGCGTTTAATGTCATTATACGATTTTGCAACTGTTCCTTCATATTTATTGTAAATTACCTGAAAATGCTCTAACAACAAATGTGAATGTGGCAGGAAACCGAAATGGTTGGTCTGCTGCAATGGCTAATAGATCTTCTCCTGTTAGGAGAGTGCAACAACTATGAGCGGGACTCTATACACAAGCTCACTACGATTTTTGTAGCATCAAGTATAAAACAACATTATTATATCGTACAATTTGAAAGGAGAAACTTTGTAATCATCTGATAATCACTTAGATTAGATATTCATATGCAGACTCTCGTATTTCACTTAGGAATAAAGAGAGATTTTTTCTTTTTCTTTTTCTTTTTAATAATGATTATAATAATAAAAGGAAATTTTTAAAGCATAATGGGACACGGGGACTGCTCGACAGGGTTACATACCAATTGCAGCTAGACGTTCCTTTTTCTTCATCAACTTTTCCTCCTTGGTCAGTGGTTTCTTAAAGCCAAGTTCTGCGGTTGCCATCTCTCTCTCCTTTCTCTGTGCAGCCAAACGTTCTTCAAAACTGAGAGTTTGAGTTCAAAAGTCCATGGTCAGAAAATTTGTGCAGAATGGATTTACAAGATGATTTTAATTTGACCAACAGTTGCTTGCTTAGTTCAAACAAGTAACGATTAAACATGCTGTTGTTTTAAAAGGAATAATCTAATTTATTAATACAAATCTACACATACTGCCCATGATAACCAAAAGATTAAGGTTGAGCCCAACAAAAGTTACAACACTACAGTACACATCTAACTGTGAGCTCGATCATCAGAAGCGGTGTCATTGAACTCTCAGATTGATTCCTAATTTGGCCTGTACTCCTAATAGGTAAAATAACCTCGCATGACTAATGAGTTTGTTATAATATTAAAATGAAAATCCATGTACACCGCATTTTCATTTTTATGAGACTCATAAACAGCATTTTCAACGAGAAGAAAAGGCCCTCGGAAGGGGTTCCTGAATCTCTCTTTTTGGCTCTCAGTTGGTGAATAAATGTTGCTCCTCATCACAATTATAGTATGAACTCACTTTTAACAGATTGGGGGTTTTTCAAGCCTCCCCTCAGTTTGGAGATTTTCTTATTGATGTTCCACGTCTAAAAAGTACCAAAGAAAAATCCTTTTCAAATCTAACAATTACCAAAAGGAAAAAGAAAAAGAAGAAAACGAAGAAGAAGAAGAAGAAAGACAGGAATAAGAAAGAATGAAGGAAATGAATATTGATCAGTGGGGTATTTTCTAAGTTCATTCAAGTTTCTCCTTCAATAAACCTGTTGAGGAAGAATTGAGCTGTTCGTCTAACAGCAGTCATGTCTCCAGTAGGCACAAGAACTCCCATTTGAATCATTGCTTGAAGAACCTGCACTAAAGAAGAATTCTTGTAAACAATTGAACATTATAAGGCATGTTATGGCTAAAAACATATTTACGCTTCATCAAGGCATAAATAAAGGTACTGGTATATCACCTTAAGGTGGCAGAAACAGAAATACACTTCACATGGTCAAATGAAAGGTGGCAGAAACAGAAACAGAAATACACTTCACATGGTCAAATGAAAGGCAATGGTGCATTTTAAGAAACCAGTACCTTGTCCGGATCTTTCTCATACACTCCATAGAACGTTTCTAGCAAACCCTCTCTGATATTTGAACTGATACTGCAAGGCACCAATACAGCAATATGTTAGCAAAATATCCTGGCCATTTAAGATTGATTTTCTCTCTTTCTTTGTTTTTATTGGATGGGGGCGTAATTTCATAGTTGGACGCAAGCAAGCACATTCCAATACCTCCCCATCATTCCAAAATCATAAAAGATCAACCTTCCTCCATTGACATCATCGACAGCAATATTTCCAGGATGCTGAAAAAAAGGTACATTTCAAGTTCAAAAACCTCTGTCGAAAAATTTAAAAACAAAGAAAAAGGCAAGCAGTACACCTGATTCCAATAACCTACATTCAATAACATCTAGAAGATGGATGCAAGCACGGCAGACATCTTGGAAGTTTGACCATATAAATATTTTATCTTCAATTTCAAACTTTATCTTTTCAGAGAAGATGCACTGAAAACTTGAGAAATTCATCCTATTAAAAATATTACTGCGAGAAGTTTTTCCATTTTCTTTTTCTAATTGAAAAACTGTTCAGTTGATATGACTGGTATTATCCATTCCCCTGTCATTTAACAGCGAGAGCTCTAGACGTGCTAAAGAAACATTTAAGGGCAGGGTTTAGACAGTGGTTTCTGTTGTTTCTTTTCATCTTATGCTTTTTATGAGTAATTTGGCTTGAGTGAGGATAGGGAGTATTTACTGGTCCTCTCTAGTCAGTTGGGAGTTTGAGCCTTAGGGTAAATGTTCTTTCATCTTAGGGCAGTGTTCAGACAGTGGTTTCTGTTGTTTCTTTTCATCTTATGCTTTTTATGAGTAATTTGGCTTGAGTGAGGATAGGGAGTATTTACTGGTCCTCTCTAGTCAGTTGGGAGTTTGAGCCTTAGGGTAAATGTTCTTTCATCTTAGGGCAGTGTTCAGACAGTGGTTTCTGTTGTTTCTTTTCATCTNATGCTTTTTATGAGTAATTTGGCTTGAGTGAGGATAGACAGTGGTTTCTGTTGTTTCTTTTCATCTTATGCTTTTTATGAGTAATTTGGCTTGAGTGAGGATAGGGAGTGGTTTCTGTTGTTTCTTTTCATCTTATGCTTTTTATGAGTAATTTGGCTTGAGTGAGGATAGGGAGTATTTACTGGTCCTCTCTAGTCAGTTGGGAGTTTGAGCCTTAGGGTAAATGTTCTTTCCCCTGGATATCAATTTATTGTAAGGGAATAACTTACATAATCACAACAGAAAAGCTGCAAGGTTGGTAGTATCAGGTCATCCAAAGCAATGATTCTATTGGACATACAGATACAAGAGTATGACGTCTATGCACTGCCAGTAATGTATGTTCTCTCAATGTACAGTAGCCGTAAAAGGAGGCGGTATCAGTTTGAAGCTCCACCATAGATTTAGGTTTTAAACGCATCATATTTACATTCCACATTATTCAAGTCTGTAAGATAACTTATATAATACTTCATATGAAGTTCAATGAAGTATCTGAGGCACTTACACCAACTTTAACCATAATCAAGTACAATAGAAAATCCCAGGTATTTTAAAGCTTAAATAACATAAACGAGAAGTAGTAGTCAGAGCTCACAGGATCTGCGTGGAAGAATCCATGAGACAGAATTTGCTCCAGGTAAGATTCAACTGCATAACGACCTAGACTGTATGTATCACATAAGACCAATGGTAACAATGAGTTAATTTCCTGCAATTATCATAAATGAAGATGAAAAATTGAAGATGATATTGACCGTTTTCGATCAATGCCTAGTTGATCCAGAGCTTTAATCTTATTTATTTTGATTCCAGGGACATACTCCATAGTCAGAACCTGAAGTCGTTTCAAAATGATAAACAATAGAAGTAAGGACAATGTGCTAAACGCAATAATTGTTTAATTGTACAAACTAATTGATAACACCTGTGGAGTAGTATAGTCCCAAAATATTGATGGGACTTTCACGTAGTCCAAGCTTTTAAAGTTGTTTGCAAACTGCTCGGCATTAGCTGCTTCCTTGGTGTAATCTATTTCCTGAAATTTACATAATATTAGGAATAATGAGAATTTATACACAGGCATAGAATTTGAGAGAAATAAGTAAAAGATTGAATACTTCTGAATCAAAAAAAGTCTGCAGTTTAATAATAAGATTTTATATTATCTAACATATCAGTAGTTGTGTCTAAAATTAATAGTTGAGCGAATGCTGATACCTGATACAGGACGTTAGCACACTCATCATATATAGCAACCCAATCTCTCTTTGCACCATCTGACTTAGGATCAAATTTTTGAAGGTATTCTGCTATGACCTGCAAAAAAATATCAAAGGTTTTGATGCATAACGGTAATTCCTTTCAACTATACAAATTCGATAGTTTTAGAAAATTTGATCGTGGAAGTGACAAACAGGAGTTCAGTGTTTTAAATGTTGCAGGCATGCGCTTAGCAGAACTTAAAGAGATCCATAATTTTGCTTAATAGTTCAATACTCATTTCTTCATTTTCTCACGCGAAAGTTTCATTCTCCTCTTTCTCCTTTTCTTTTCTTTTTTTTTCCTTCCCTCTTCTTCTCTCCCTCCTCTTTAGCTCATTGTACACCATTTATTTTGTCAACAAATGTATATCAATCATTTCCTTTCTTGATTTTTATTTGTATTCTTAGCAACTTATTAATATTACTGTAATACTTCTACAACAATTTGCCAATTAAAAAAACTGAAAAATAAATTCCACCATTAAATTTTCATACCCCTAGGAACCTTTGCATTTTAAAAAAGCATTGACATAGCTTAATGACAAACAAATTGATATATTTACCACAATTTATTAAGGAAAAATAGAAGATACAAGAAAATTAGTTTCGCCAGAAAAAATGTATCTGAGGCCATGCATCTAACTAGAGAGGACACACAGACATGAATAAAATAAATGCAGTGAGATCACTACAATTCTGATTTCTGAGCACACACAAAAACAGAAATAGGAAATTCAGTCAATGTTGAAACTAACCCTTAGGTTCTTAAGGTCAATGTCAAAGAGTTCCTTTAGACTTGGCCTTTGGACTTTCACCACAACCTCCTGCCCCTTCAATCTTGCACGATGAACTTGACCTGAACAAAGACACTTTTGATGTTAAGTTTTCTAATCAGCCATGAAACAGAGAATTCCAAAATGCTTTAGCTCAACAGAATTTCCCAACAAATATCATGGTAAGCCACAGAAAATGTGAATCAAGTTTACCAAGACTAGCAGCTGCTATTGGTTCACGATCAAACCAATCAAATATATTGTCCAAAGGACCTCCAAGCTCTTCTTCAACTATTGATATTGCTGTCTCAGATGGGAAGGGAGGAACTTGATCCTAAATTGAAAATGAGAATCCATCAGCCTAAGCAAGATAGATTGAAATATGTCATCATTCCAACTGAAAACATATATATTTCATATGCAACAGGCCTACGCACAGACTGGTGCTGGTGCAAGCATAGATAAGTGAATTTTTAACCTGAAGTTCTGATAACTGGTCAACATATTCTTGTGGTAGAATGTCCACTCTTGTGGAAAACTGCTGTCCAATTTTAATAAACGTTGGACCTAATCTTAGAATGCTTTCTTTCAACCATTTGGCAAGGATCTTTCTTCTGGAAACCTGCTTCTCCTCTGTCATTCCTCCTAAAAGCAAATAAAAGACCATGAAATAAGGTGAGAACTCCTATCATCCAATAGCATTATGAAATCCAAAGAGAAAATTTGTGTATCATGTTTGGCATTGATGTTGCCGAAGGGCTCACCTCGATAAGTAAATTTCTGACTGTTAAGCCAAGCCTTAATGATAAAAGTAAAAACAAATCCCCATATCTCCAAGGTTCTCTGAATTGTTGAATATGTTTTAAATCTATTCCAGCGTCCACCAGGTGCCACAGAAACCTGAAGAATGACCGAATATGGAATCCTTAAGAATGACCGAAAATGGAATAAAAAACAGCCTGAAAAGGAGAGATTAAAATGATCGAAAGTATGGAGGAAAGTGCAAGGATTGTTGATGCTTCATACCTACACTACCAGGTTTAATTTCATAATGAGAAAACACATCCCAAAAGTAGCAGCTTTTCATCAAGAAGAACTCAGATTTGCAAATTATATCACTAAGACATGTTTATTACCAGGATTGGTGCAATCTTATTTTAAGACCATAACGCTTACTCCAAGTTTTTTAGTCCAGAATTTAAGATTGCATTTGACAGTTACACACTGCTAAATAGACCAGGTAATAGAAGGTACTATGAACTTTTAAGGCTTACTAAATCACAATTTGACCCAAAAGTTTTCGACTAATCCAATTCACTCAATGTCACCCCTTACTTGTGGGTTTCGGTAGTAACTTTGATTTACCGCGTCCAAAACATGGATTATCAGATTAAAATGGAGATGGAGGAAATCATTATCTTCTGGTTAAGTATCATGTAAAACCACCGCTACACCCAAATGAAGCTCTGATCTAGAACTTGAGACCTCCCAAATAAGCTGTTCTAGTAATCAGAAATTGCAAGCGCACATATAATAGCTACATGAAGATTGAAAATAAAAACCTCCAAATTACGTAGAATCCCTTCGTCAATGGAATCAAATAATAACAACAAGAAACAAGCAGAAACTGAGCAAAGAAATACGAAACTTGAAGTAAACCGATAATCAAACCTCGGTCTGTTGCTGTTCACTCCGCTTGAACCAAGCCTCTTCTTTACCAATCTCCTCTATCCTCTTCTTCCTCCCCTCCTCCGTCGACTCCGAAGCTTGAATTTCCCCCACCACCGTCGCAGCAACACCATTTCCATTAACATACTTCATTAAGCTCCCATTACTACTATCAGTCTCACTCTCCACAACCGTAACTCCACCATTAACCCAGCCATTATACTTGTAATCGCCATTCTCCTTGTAAGCAGCTCCATTGCCACCAAGTTCATAACCATTAACTTCCTTGATCAACTCGCTCTCTCTCTTGTCAACAATCACTCCGTCTTCTCTAACAGCCTTGACTTTAGTCCGAAAAAGAACACGAAAACTACAGCTTCTAGAGAGAGGAATCCTATAGTGCGAACATCTGGAACTGGAAATAGACAGAAGCCGCTTCGGCGAGACGAATACAAGTTCCGGTAAAGGCAATGAAGTAGCCATGAATCATGTGCCGAAATTGAAGCTCACTGAATCATGTGCTGGAACCCTAGCTCTGAAGCGCGGGAGAACCAAAGAGACGGTAATGGCGGAACGAGCGAAGACGTGGAAGAGAGAAGGAGAAGGTAGAGAACGGACGGAGAGCCAGAAAAATTTACAATTTTTAGCTAGAGAAAATATATGGGGAAATGAAAATTAAAGGGGTGGAGGTTAGAATGCCACGTGGCATGAAGAAGATGAGTGCTGCAGATTCTGATTGGATTTGAGAGTCCGTGTGGCGTCCACCCTCACTGGCATTTTGGAAATTTAGACGCTTTTCGGCTGACGTGTTCACGGTGGACCGTCATAATCCTGTGGTTCGGTTGGCAGTAGAGTTTTTCTTCTCTGCTGCTCTATTTGCCTGAACTGCACTCGCTGTTTTTCATCGTGAAATGCACGCGCATAAAATCTAGAAGTTGGGATGTCACCCATCTTGTCATGGTCATGCTTTATTAGACGTTTATAAGTGATGGTTTGATATTCTCTCTAAATAACTCATCATTCAACTCAAGTTCATGCCACCGTTGGCCGCATTTATCCAAGCTTCTAACTTTCTTTTGAAAAATAAATAAATAATATAAAAGTAAATAGATTTTTGAAAAAATTATTTATAAACAATGATCTAGACTAGTAAAATAAAAAGTAACACAACGACTTAAATAGCATATAACTCTCAGTACAAAAATTTGATGAATCATCCTCCCTTATACATTTTGAAACATTTCAAATCTATCAAAAGTATGTATGATTTCGCAAAAAAATATCATATTAAAGAATTACAAATTTATTATATATATATATATATAATTAATTTGTGACCTTTAATCTTTGTTAATGTGTATATATTAAATTTAATTTTAAATAAATTACAACATTTTATTTAAACCAAACGGTGAAAAAATACAAAATTATGTAATTCGCTCCAAAAATAGATTTTGGTTGATATAGTTAGATTATGGTGGAATTAAAACTTAAACTCAACCACATCAACTATAAAATTAATGTTATCTCAATATTTTATTAAATATTTGACATATGAGATTCCTATATATATTATACACTTATGCAACGTAATTTATTATTATGGATAATATCTTGAATTTATATATTAATTTATATATAATTCAACAGATAAGACATACCAATAATTTAAAGGTCAACTCGATCTTTTACAATAATTGACTACAAGCATAACTACATGTACATATAAATTTCATGATTTTATTAATGGATGATTTTTAATTTTGTGCTAAAAAAATAAATAAAGTTAACATTTTTATTATATAAAATTAACTTTAAGGTTCCATTTTTTTTTATATAAATAGATTTTATTGATTATTTTAAATGTTGGATAGGTTAAATATGACAAAGTTTAACCTATTTTTAAATATTATTAAGCTTTCACCAGATAAAAATAAAATTTAAATTTAATAATATATTAATTTTGAAAATTTTGAAAATTTCAGACACTCAATAATGGGGCAGAATTGGTTAGAATTTAGTTGAAAATTCTATTAAATATTTTAATTAAACTTGTAATTTATTGTTATTACTATTTTGAAATGAAATCCGTTTTGAATCATTTATTTAAAAATTAAAAAAAAAAAAAAAAAGGAAAAGAAAAAAAAGAGCGCTCAAATCATAAGTTCGTCTCCCCGTTGGCTTGGTATCAACGAGAATTCCCAGTCCATGGTTACGGCGGCTCTTCATTTGGCCATGGACGAAGCTCCTATCTGTGCACCCAGTTGCATCGCCTCCGTTGACGAAACCACTGACAGCGACCGCGAAGAAGCCGCGGCGGTTGATTCGTATCTGGAGAACTCTAGCCGGACTCTTTACGACCATCCGCCATGTTTAAATCGCAAAAGGAAGAAGAAGAAGAAGAAGAAGAAAAGGGTTATTGTTGACAATGTTCAAGAACTTCCTTCTTCGTCGTCTTCTTGTTCTTCCCCCGTGAGATTGTTTCAGAAAGGTGTGAATTGCAAACGCCGACGCCGCAAGATTCTAATTGCTCAATCGCGGCGTGCCGATGACGACTTTGAAAATGTGGCGCTTTTACTGGGAATGTCCTTCGCAGCTTTTGTTGCTCAGGTTCTGTCTTCTTCGCCTTTTTAATGGGGTTTATCTAACTAGGGTAAATTTTGTATTTTGGTGGTTTTGTTTTCGCTTAAATGATTCTTAAAGGTCAAAACTTTCTCAATTCAACGTCATACGAATAATTTATGGTTCTTTTCCCTTCAAATTATCAGGAAAAAAGGTTTGAATGTTGACATTTAATACATACGATCTATTTTTGAGAGAGACTCTGAAATTTTATTGTCTAATGTTCATATTTCTTATCAGATTTTTAGGAGTAACAACAGGAGAAATTACTACAATTTTTAGTAGTAACTGAAGACAATAACACTCTTTTCTTGTCTATTTAATCATCCATATTAATTAGTTATAAGACCTAAGAGGAAAGTTGAAACTAATATGGGAGTTTTTGCTTTGATATGTGTCTCTGAATATGAACTTTGTTATCAAGTGGGAAAGCGTATTCAATGCCTTAATATGGTTAAATATTTAGAACTTTGATGATAACAGAGCTGAAATGATGTTTTTTTTGGAGTGGAATGTAGTTTTCTGTAAATATTTAGAACTTTGATGATAACAGAGCTGAAATGATATGTTTTTTTGGATTTGAATGTAGTTTTCTGTAAATATTTAGAACTTTGATGATCAAAGAGTTTGTGTGTTTCTCAGGGCTGCCGATAGTTTTAATAGTTTGTTGATCTTTTAGGCGCTTTTTAATTTTGATTTTAGGTGCTCGAGATGCAGGAAAGGTCTGGTGAAAGGATGTCTGTTGGTCATCTCTCAGTGGTATGCTACCGTTCTCTATAATATGAATGCAAGTAGCTCATGTATATTGAAACTAATACTCACAAAGTAATCAGGCTCTCAATGTACAATCTTGCCGTAGTATAGAAGTGAGTTGCCAAATGTTCCGTAACCTTATTTTTTTTAGTTAACAAATATTTGTGGATGGAAGATTTGAATCTCTGACTTCTTGATCGATGGCAGATGTCAATTACTAATGAGCTAAGCTCACCTTGGCTATGTTGTTGAAATGAGATTGGTATTCATGTAACTCTTTTGAATCATTTCAAATAAGAAGATAGTGAATCCTAATCTCTTGTTATTCAAATTGCAGTATTTGTTATGGATATTTTTTCGACAGCTTTCCTTCTTAATTCGCATAATGTTGTCATAGGTGTGGTGTTAATCTAGATTCACTGGTGTTGGTCTTGTCTGCTGAAGTAAAGTGCAGCTTCCTTGGTTTAAATGTTGCACAGGCCCTTGTCTGTCTACCATCGATGATAGTTTACCACCGAGTCGTTCCATTCTCGCTTCTTTCCTAAGATCTGACTTATATTTCTTCGAAATAATTATATTAGTGGAGCCATATGATTCAAGATTGTCTTGTACCTGCAGATTTGCACTTCGGCTATCCAGGAATCTTTGGTCAATGTAAGTTTGATCTCTAACTACAGTTCACTGTTATTTATTCAGTATTGCCCAGAGTCCAAGATGCTGAAGTTCCTTCCACATGCCTGTTCTTTGACCGGTTATATGGAAAACAGGTTTTTGGAGACAAGCTTGATTGGTTTTTGAAGAAATTTGAGAGATCATTTGAAAGCACGTTGAGAACTCTTAGATCAATCAGTGAATTATCTGCAAGAACAGGAGTGTGTTTCTCCAGCAAACGCAAGGAAGAAAAAATCGAAGTAGATTCGATCCTCGATAGGAAAAGAGACGTGACAAGGAGCTCTCGTTTGGAAGAATGTCGCCCGGACGAGTCTTCTAGGACAATTGCCCCTATTGATCAATTAAGTTCAGTTGGAATGGTAAAGGAAAGCCTTTCTGATTCGTTGACTCATGAGTTAGCTTTATGTAAACTGAAAAGTGATGTGACTTCTGTTGCCCCAAGGGCAGTTGGTTCCCATCGCAATGAGATAGCGCTTGGCACTTTTGAAAAATCCGTTGTCGAACAGGCACGTTCCAATGATCTTAAGACAGTGGAGCTTGGCCTTGCAATGAGGAAATTAAGGTTGAAAGAAACACAAATTGCCCTCAATTGCGACTTAAACAATCTTGAGAGATCAAAATTGGCAATGGGTATATCAAAAGCCTGTTTTAAGGAAGAGAAGTTCAAGAATCAGTTAGAAGACACAAGACATTCGGAACTGCTTAGAAAGTGCATAGACTGCCTCGTTGCTGGTTTGCTTATAATGTCGATGGCCATCTCGTACGGAGCATACGTTTATTCCTACCAAAAAATTTCTGAAGCTACTGCTATCTGTACACCTTCAACCAAGGCAAGTCTAGCCCCTTCTTTTTGTTATGGCTTGTATATGACACTGGTAGATCTGCAACCCAAAAACCATTTACTTTGTTATGCAGCTGTTGATGAGTTTTTTCATCACATATTGTTGGAACTAAAAGCAAAAGCATTCATTCAACGAACTTATTTGAGGTTCTGTGGTCTTTACAGGAATCAAAATCTTGGTGGATACCAAATCCTATGGCATCTTTGAATAATGGACTGCATATGTTAAGTTGTCAAGTTCAAGTGGTGAGCCGAATGGCGTTTGGCGTGATTTTGATTCTTGCAATTGCCTACTTGCTTCTTCAACGCTCGTCCGCTTCAAACCAGGCAATGCCAGTTACTTTCATTGTCTTGCTGCTTGGTGTTGCCTGCGGTTTAGCTGGGAAGTTGTGCATAGACACACTGGGAGGAAGCGGATTGCATTGGCTCATGTACTGGGAGACCTTGTGCATATTGCATTTATTTGCAAATATTTTTACTTCTACACTGTTTAGGATTCTACATGGCCCGGTCAAGGTTTCTCAAGGGAAAAATGGCAACACAATCTTGCCATACTGGACCCGCCGTGCTGTATTCTATGCCCTTCTGCTTGTCTTTCTGCCATTGTTGTGTGGGCTGCTACCATTTGCAGGTGTTGGTGAATGGAAAGATCATTTCTTCTTCTGGTAACTGATACGATTGCAGCAGACGGCTACTGAATGCATCAGCAAGGATGTGGCTGCCGGGCGTTGCTGCTTAGGATTATTTATTTCGTATTGGTTTTTGTAAGAGCCATTTAAAATGCTTTGGGATAGTTTTGCAGTTAAATTGCTAATTGATTGTTATTATTATTTATGTATAAATGAGTAATACTTAATGTCTCGGGAACAATCTAGTGGAGATGGGGTGGGGCCTGTAACTCCAGAGGATTAGAGCATGTGGCTACGAACCACGGTATCGGAGTTCGAATCCTTCTTCATCCACAACTGGCCAAAAAAGGAAGGACTTTTCTCTCTGGGGAGTAAGAAAATCATGATCGGGATAGTGGACCCAAAGCTATGGAATTTGGGTGTGGGCTTTTGTTGAAATGGAATGACATTTTCTTTTTCGTTAATGAGTAAATAGCGGAATTTCGTTATAAATTAAATATAGGATATACCCTTTGTTTTACTTTTCGTGATTCTTGAGTTAGACTAACTCACTTTTAAGTGGTTAAAAATTTAAATTTTAAAATTATAATATACTAATAATATATATAATATATATTTTGATACATATTTAAAATTTTAAAATATCTAATAAATTTTAAAAAATTTAATTTTATGTAGTAAGTGTGGCATATTAACTTTTTAAAATTAACTGATATATATTATATTTATTTCTAAAGAAAATTTTGACTTTGAGTTAAATTAAAAAAAAAAAAAAAAAAAAAAAAAAAAAAAAAAAAAAAAACTAAAAAATTATAATAAATTATAATATATTTTTAAAATAAAAAAATAGATAACTGAATTTGTAATTTAAGGAGAATTCAATGTATTGTTTTTTAATTATTGTTGGTGGTGGAGCAATGAATCTTGATAAGGCCACGTAAACAAAGGTCCCCCACGTGGTTAACGTCGACCAGGGAGATGAGCTGGAGGGTTAGAAAAATAAATAAAATAATAATATAAAGATGGAAAACAAGACGCGGCAGGTGGTCCCGAGAGGACAGAAAAAGCACGCTTGCCTGTCTGTCTGCTGCACGTGTGGCTAGGCCTTGTGACTTGTGACCTCACAACTCCCTGTCGCCTTCCCACCCGCACGTGCCCCATCCCTCCCCCTACACGCTTCTTCTTCTTCCCTATTATTCTATTATTTTCTTTCTCCTCCACCATAAGCCATCAATTTTCATATTTTATATAAATATATATCTTTATTATAATACTACAATTGTTTTAAGTAATAAATTAATCAAAATAATTCCAAAACTATCTACATAAATTTTTAATTTTAATTTTTTTTGTCTTAGAATCCTCCTATATCCTTGAGCTAAAAAAAAAAATATATTATTCACATACTCAGCTATATTTAAATTATAAATATTAATCATAAATAATAATTATCGAGAATCGAAAGGACCACAAATATTTACTAGTATAATAAAGACCAACGACACATTGGATGATATGGGTCCCTAGTAGCACACATGAGTATATTAATTATGAAAAATATATTTAGCATTATTGAAAGTAATATAAAGTTTTTCCACTTTACCATTAGCTAGCATTTGTAATTAAAATAAGATACTAAAACAAATAATAAGAAAAATTAGTTGAATAACGAAAACTATACCAAACTAGAAGAAATATTCCTATTTATTTATTTTATTACTCGCATTAGAAATTAAAAAATAAAATTCATGATTTTAGTATAAACCTTTTTATTTTAACATCGAAAATACAAGGATGAATTTTGGAACAAACAATTGAAATTAAAAAGCAATAATAAAATATGTTAATGTTTACTTAAAAAAAATTTAATTAAATTGATTTTTTTTTCTTCTTATTTTTACAAATGATTAAATAAAATATAAATTACACGAAGTTGAAAAAAACTTTGACCAAAAAATATAATATAGAGCCAACTGATCCACGTGCCTTGACAAGTGTTTCTACTGGGACCCACCAATGCGACAAATTCTTAAAATATTTCAAAAATCAAAATTAATATTTTGGTCGTTTAAATGACTAAAATGTCCCTAATGATTGATCGTAATACCCAAATTACCCCATCAGAAGGAAGAATCTAAAAGTGCGGTTCCTTGTGAAGAAGTTCAACAAAGAGCGCGCTCTTCTCGTGAAGTTTGCTTGGTGGTGTGGTGCAGTACTTTTTTCACACGCTCTGTTTCTCTCTTTCTCTGTCTCTTGGCCGCTCGAAAATTCGCTCTCTGATCGAGAATAAGCGGTAGGAGGCGATAGAGAATTAGAAGAAGTTCGAGGGCGGAGCTGGATTGCCGGTATTGAAGAAGAATTTGGAGCTGTTGCGGAGGGATTTGTTGTTATGCCTGAAGAAGCCATGACAGGTAGAGCGTCATCGGGAAGGACGCCGACGTGGAAGGAAAGGGAGAACAATAAGAGGAGGGAGAGACGGCGGAGGGCTATTGCTGCTAAGATCTACACTGGTCTCAGAACTCAGGGGAACTATAAGCTTCCTAAGCACTGTGACAACAACGAGGTCTTGAAGGCGCTTTGTAGTGAAGCTGGTTGGGTGGTTGAAGAAGATGGCACCACCTATCGCAAGGTTCTGCGACTCCTTTCCTTCAATCTATGGCTTTTGATTTTTAGTACTTTTTTAATCGATTTTGAGATGTGGTGATTATAGTCTCTCCTCCTGATCTGTGTTTATTTTAGGTTTTTTTGTTTGTTTCAGTTCTCTTTGAGTTCAATCTTTGGTTATTTGGTTTTGTCTTCTTAGATCTGGATATTTGAGGACTCGAGAGTTTTAAGAATCTCTTGTTGCGATGAAATGAGTAAGTGCGGAAGACTGTATGTGAAAGCAGTGTTGTAGTTTCCTCTTTTAGATCCGGAATTCTTAAGCTGTTCATATGTCTAAATCTGAGAGCTTCTGTAGTCCGTAGTACCAGTTTATTTATCTCTCCCCCAATTTATTGGGATTTAATTAGGTTTCTCCCCTGTGCCGTTTCCGTTTTAGCGTGTTAGATTTTGTTTGAAACTGCTAAAAGATGATGTTCGCGCTAGTTTTTTGTGCTCCTCCATTTCGTCTGAGTGAAATGCGTTATAATCATTGCATGATTTCAGCAATCTATTTGATGTCTTGTGTATATTTCTTACCTTTTTTGTTGATTCATGTTTCTTACCTTTTTTGTTGATTCGTTGTACAGGGATGCAACCCTCCTCCGATTGATATTGGCACTTCTGCTAACATGAGTGCCTGTTCTTCTCTTCAACCAAGCCCACAATCTTCATGTTTCCCAAGTCCTGTACCATCCTACCATGCCAGCCCTTCTTCATCCTCTTTTCCGAGCCCAACTCGATTTGATGGGAATCCATCTTATCTTTTGCCATTCCTTCAAAATATAACCTCTATACCTGCTAATCTCGCACCTCTCAGAATATCAAACAGTGCACCTGTTACGCCACCTCTTTCTTCCCCGACATCGAGGGGTTCGAAGCGTAAACCTGACTGGGAGTCCATTCCAAATAGCTACTTGACCTCTTTCCGCCACCCCCTCTACGCTGTCTCTGCTCCTTCAAGTCCTACAAGATGCCGCCATCTTACACCAGCAACAATTCCAGAATGTGATGAGTCTGATGCTTCAACTGTGGACTCTGGCCGCTGGGTCAGTTTCCAAACTGTAGCACCTTCTGTTGCTCCTCCCTCCCCTACATTTAATCTGATGAAACCAGTGAGCCAGCAAAACTCTCTCCACGATTCAGTTGACAGACATGGAGCAATGGGCTGGGGTGCTGCATCGGACAGGGGGCGAGGCTCTGAGTTTGAATTCAAAAAATTTGAGAATGGCAAAGTGAAGCCATGGGAGGGCGAGAGAATTCATGAAGTTGGGGTGGACGATTTGGAGCTTACACTTGGGAGTGGGAAGGCCCGTGGTTAAGCATCCACTTGAAGATATTCTCTTTAAAGGTTATTGGTTTATGCTCACTCAATTTGTTTACTTTCTAGGCTTGGACTTCAACTTCCACTACACCTCCGTCCTCTTGGAGCCTCTGCAAACCTCAACAGTTCCTTTCTCTGATTCCACATCTTACGCCTTCATTTGAACAGTTCTTTTCTCGTGTGGAGCCTTCGCAAATCTGAACTCATTACATCTTGTAGTGGAAGAGGAATCAATATTTGATTCGGGCCCAGGAAAGAACAACATTCAGAAGAACAATGCAATTAATTGTGATGGTTTCAATTTTTTCAGGATCTTATGATCCTTAGGATTTGCCTTGCCCACCTGTATCAGAAATTTCTTGTATATATAATCTTCAATTCATCTTATCTTTGCAGAACGTGAAAGAAATGAACGACAAACTGTGGGAAAGTTGTTACGAACATTGCCTATTTCCCTGGTCAGTTATGATTCATTACATTTTCTGTCATGTACATGTTCAATCATACACCATATCTTAGAGGGCCCTGTCCGTAGCTTCATTTTTTGTTACAAAGAACTAAGAACTAAATGTTATCAATACTTGACTTTCAGATTTGTCTTGTATATAGCTATTTATATATGTATGCATACACAACCCTCTTGGTCAAGTGATCATTATAACTATTTTATGACTTAGTGCCTGTTCATCAATTTTTTTGTTCTTCAAAGAACCAATGTGGCTCTAATATGTCATATCAGGTCAATGATCATGTTAATTTGCATTTTATTTTCTTGATGGGGCATACCTTTGAAAAAAAGCAAATTAGATTTGGAACTGTGTGCAAATAGACTTGATTAAAATTTTAATTGGATTCTCCAATTGAGAGTCTTAACAATTATCTAAACGACAATTTTGGTAAAAGATTCCAGTCTAAAACACGACCAACCAAGTATGTTGACAATTAAAGCACAAAACATGTAAAACTCTTAGAAGGCTTTGGTGGAAGGTAACTAGTTTGGAGTTTTGTAACCGCTCAAGTCACCGCTAATAGACATTGTTTGCTTTAGTCTGTTACGTATCGCTGTTAGTCTCACAGTTTTAAAACGCGTTTCCTAGGGATAAGTTTTCACACCCTTAGAAGGTATGCTTTGGTCTCCTTTTCAACCAATGTGAGATCTTACAATCCACCTCATTGGGGCTCAATGTTCTCGCTGGCAAATCGCCCGACGTTGGTCTCTAACAACCCAAGCTACTACTAACAGATATTGTCTGTTTTAGTTCGTTACATATCGTTGTCAACCTCATAGTTTTAAAATGGGTATGGTAGGGAGAAATTTCCGTACCCTTGTAAGGAAAGTTTTGGTTCTCTCTCTCACTAATATGGGATCTCACAAGTTCAAAATCGATAATTTTAGTCTAATTTTGATGACTTTTTACTCCACTTCAATAGGAATGAACTGAACTAGTCAAGGTTTATGTCTTTGTCTAGTCTGCACGACCTTTTCCTCATTGTCTCCTCAATTTCATACTACTAACTAGTTGTCTTTTTCTTATGAACAAAACATGTAATATACAGTTCAAATGGTTTGATTTTGTCACTTTCTCATGCACTATAATACAAATTTAAAAAATTAATTAATAGGCTTATAAGCTTTTAAGATGAAGATTACTTATTTAATGGAATAAATAAGACCTGTTTTATCCTATCTATTAATATTAATTAAGCTTCTATAACTAAAATAGTTTTTAATAAGTAATTAAAGTTTCAATTTTTTAAATACTATATAAATATTGTAATTTCCATTATTATAAATAGGAAGCTCCATCCCATTCGAAAACAGAGACAGAGCTTCCTCATCTTGTGCTCTGTTTTCATATTTTACGCATAGCCATGACAGCCCAAGAATCCCAAACCCATGCTTTGCTTTGCTGGTCAGCCCCGGCATGGGCCACCTCATTCCCTTCCTTGAGCTAGCCCACCGCCTCGTCCACCACCACAACCTCCACGCCACCCTCTTCGTCGTTTGCTCTGGCACCTCCGCCGCCGAGTCCCTCCTCCTCCAGAAATCCTCGGCCGTCAACATCGTGCCTCTTCGCCCCTCCGTCAGTCTCGACCCAACTGCCAATTTCATCGACAAAATCAAGGCCATAATGTCCGCCTCTCCCCCTCCGCTGCCCAGCCCCGCCCGGCGGCGCTGATTGTCGACCCTAACATGGGTGTTAAAGAAATACGACCACAATAGGATAATATTGTCCACTTTAAGTATAAACTCTCTGTGACTTTGCTTTGTACTACCACAAAAAAGCTTCATACTAATAGACGGTGTATTCTTTAATCATAAACTCATGACCATTCTCTAAATTAACCGATGTGGTACATTTTCATCCAACACCTCCCCTTGATCAAAGTATACCTCCCCGTAATCGAGGTTGGATTCCTTTGGAGTTCTCTAGTCACTTTTTGACTATGCCTTCGACGCTCACCATACTTTATTCGACATTTGATAATTTGTCAATCTATTGTCATGATTAAGTTTAGGGCATAACTCAGACGAACACGATTCTCTACTATGACTTTGAGTGGAGCAAATCAACGATTTGGCGTGGGGGTTGGAGCTGAGTCAGAGAGAGAGCGAGAAATCAGAGAGAGGGTTAAGGCGCTTAAGCGTAGTGGGGAAAGGGCCGCCGCCAAGGGTGGCTCGTCGTATAATTCACTGGCTTAGGTGGCTGCAGAATGTGACATTTTCCGCCGCCGGACACAGCTCAGGAAGGCGGCCGCCGCCTGATGCTACTTTGTTCTCAGGTAGTGAACATCATTCACGTTTAAATGTTTTTATTTTATTTCTGTTTTTTTTTTAGTTCAACTGCACAAGAATACAGCGAAAAAGGTGAAGTAATATGAGGGTATTTTGGTCATAAGATTTTATTATTTATTTTTAATTCATTTTGAATGATGCCCAAAATATATTTAAAGATAAACATTTTTTTTTTTTTTTGTTATGGTTACGATAAATTGATAAAATGATATAGTAAAGTCATGTATCGTAAATGATATGATTATGATGGACTCATGAAACGATATGATTATGATAAATTTAGGGAACGATATCGTTAAGGTACGTTCATGAAATCATGACTTAGATATGTATAAAAACGTTAAGACTATGATAAGTTAGAGAACGATATGACACGAAGTGTTTATGAAATGATATGATTTGGGAGTGATGAATATATATATGTGTGTGTGTGTAGTAAAATGGTATGAGGATGATATGATACCGGTTGTGGTATGAAATATGTGACTACTGATATATTTATGATATGACATAATGTGAACCAATATGTTAGAAATATTATGTGATTGTTATGGTATACGATAAGATATAATACGTGCATGTTGAGAATTGTTATGTTTGGAAGTATGAAAACGTTATGATATGTTATATGTGCAACATAAATTATATGATATGATTGACATGCAAAATGACGAACTACCATGAAATACAACCTCAATGTATGCATGAAAGATATTATAAATAGTATGAGAAATGATATGAAAAACGATATGATATGTACGAAACGCTAGCGAAGCTATATTAAATGATAATGAAAATGGAAAAATGTTGGGACCTCATGCATTGGAGGATACCCCCTGTTCCTTCACGATGGTAAGGACACGTACACTACTAGGCAGGAGAACGATCATTATGAATGGTGGGTCCATACTCGCACATGCAGGCCATGTGTAGGAAATTAATTACACATCTAAGCTACCAATTAAGATAGCCACTATAAGAAAGCAGACTGTGATGATAGGTCTCGTCATTGTATTCACATGTTCTTACATTTAACCCTAATAATAGGCTCACTTACGGAGTATTTCTTTATCATAACAAAACATTAACAACAAAACATTTGATTTAAATATCATTTTTAAAAAACATAAATTATAAGGTTGCAAATAGAGACAAGACAAAAAATATATTTCGTGTCTGTGGTGGTCTGGCTTGCATGACCTTTTCCTCATTCTTTCCATAATTTCATGCTATACTAACTAATTGCCTTTTTCTTATAGTTGAATTTTTTTATGCACTATAATACAAATTTTTAAAAATTAATTAATAGTCTTGTAAGCCTTTTAGGATGGAGATTACTTATTTAAGACCCAATTACCATAATAAATATTTGAATTAACAAAAATTCTTAATAATTCTTTGAGCTTAGATGTTTATATCCATTAATTAAGCAATATATATAAATATTGTATCAGATGAACACGACACTCCATAATGGTAGGATAGTGCCGAACATAAGCTCTCATAACTTTGATTTGTGATTTTCTAAAAAGCCTCGTGACCCAATAGAGATAGTATTCCATGATTATAAATAAGGTGAAGGGGTAGAAGAAGCACGTCCCATTCAAAAACAGAGTGCTCTGTTTTCATATTTTACGCATAGCCATGACAGCCCAAGAATCCAAAACCAATGTTGCTTTACTGGTCAGCCCCGGCATAGGCCACCTCATTCCCTTCCTTGAGCTAGCCCACCGCCTCGTCCACTACCACAACCTCCAGGCCACCCTCTTCGTCGTTTGCTCTAGCACCTCCGCCGCCGAGTCACACCTCCTCCAAAAATCCTCTGCCGTCAACATCGTGCCCCTTCGCCCCACCGTCAGTCTCGACCCAAATGCCAATTTCATCGACAAAATCAAGGCCATAATGTCCGCCTCATCCCCACTCCTTCGGCGCTCCCTCTCCGCTGCCCAGCCCCTCCCGGCGGCGCTGATTGTCGACCTTTTTGGAACATGGGCTCTTGCCATAGCCCACGAACTCGGCATGTTAGGGTTCGTTTTCATGACCACTAGTGCTTGGTTCCTTTCGCTTGCCATGTTTTTTCCCACCATGGACAAGCAAATGATCGACGACCACGTGTACAGCCATGAGCCGCTGAGAATCCCGGGTTGCAGCCCGGTCCGGTTCGAGAATACCGTCTCGGTGTTCGAGGAGGATGATTACGAGGGCTTTTTTGGAATTATGGCGAGGGAGCTTGGAACGGCTGATGGGATTTTGTCGAACACGTGGCAGGATCTGGAGCCCACAACCATAAAAGCGCTAACTGAAATTGAGACTCTCACCTATGGGAAAGTTAAAGGCGTCCCGATTTATCCAATTGGGCCGTTGACTAAATGCTGTGAGCCCAATTTGGAGAGCGAGGTGCTGAAGTGGCTCGACAGGCAACCGGATGAGTCGGTGATATATGTGTCGTTTGGAAGTGGGGGGACGTTGAGTGAAGAACAAATCAAGGAATTGGCGTGGGGGTTGGAGCTGAGTCAGCAGCGGTTCGTTTGGGTGATACGGCCGCCAGTGGATACCGATTCCTCGGGGACATTTTTCACAGCAGGGAACGAATCGGGGGACCACAAGTGGCCGCCGGAATACCTCCCGGAAGGATTTGTAAACAGGACGAAAGAGGTGGGTTTGCTTGTTCCGATATGGGGACCACAGGCAGAGATTTTGAGTCACCGATCGGTAAGGGGATTTTTGACGCACACTGGTTGGAACTCGTCGTTAGAGAGCATAGTGAACGGAGTGGCGATGGTGACGTGGCCACTGTACGCAGCGCAAAAGATGAACGCGGCGGAGCTGACGGAGGAGGTGGGAGTGGGTGTAAGGGTGTCGGAGGGGTTGGTGAGTAGGGAGGAGATAGAGAGTAAGGTGAGGAAGATAATGGCGGAGGAGGATGAAGAAGGGCGGGAAATCAGAGAGAGGGTTAAGGCGCTTAAGCGTAGTGGGGAAAGGGCCGCCGCCAAGGGTGGGTCGTCGTATAATTCGCTGGCTGAGGTGGCTGCAGAATGTGACATTTTCCGCCGCCAGACACAGCTTAGGAGGGCCGCCGCCGCCTGATGCTACTATGTTCTCAGGTAGTGAACATCCTTTGCGTTTAAATGTTTTTTATTTTCTTTCTGTTTTTGTTTTTAGTTCAACCACAGAAGAATAAAGCGAAAAAGGTGAAGTAATTAATATAAGGATATTTTCGTCATAATATCTGTCTATTTATTTTAATTCATTTTGAATGATGCCCAAAATACTTGTTTATTACAAGATAAACACTTGAAAAGTAAGTGAGACTGTTACTCTTTATGTAAGTTTAATAAATCTGAAAATTAGTTATAATCTTTAATAATTTTAAGATTGATTAAAATGAAACTAAATAAAAATTAATACAAAATGATTTCCAAATATCTAATCTTTAATAATTTATACATTTTGTCAATAATTCATAATTATTTTTAAAATCAACTCAAAATACTATTACACCATTCATTCTAAAAAGTAGAAAAAAAAATACTGATTAAATATCAATCGTATTGATAAAAATTATTAAAAAAGTAAAATTTGATCGAAACTCTTCATATCCAACCGAAAAGTAGAAAATAATGGTAAATTGGAAGATCAGACATAGAATATATATATATATATATATATATATATATATATGTGTGTGTGTGTATGTATATGTATATGTATATGTACCTCAAAGAGAATTTTAAGTTATTTCAATACCTAAAAAAAAAAAATATTTAATTACATAAATAAATACATGGGAAGATGGGTTATTGCCCCCAGAGATTAATATTTTATACGTTTATGAAAAAAAAAATGATTGAATATAGACAATTACAGTATAGAGTGAGCATGGAAAGTGAGCACAACAACTGAGAGTAAAGATAGGAAGAAGTTAGAAATATTTGGTACAGCGGCGGCAGTGGCAGGGACTGAAGGGCCGGTGGTCGACACATTGCTCACCGGCGGTAGCGGTGGGTCGACGATAGCTTTTCCATCCAATGGAGGCGAGGGAGGATCCACACGTGGTCTAACCTCTTCCGGCACCAGAGCAAGGAGTGTTCCAACTTCTGGCGGTAAGATCGAATATCCAAGGGTGGTGACAACTGGCCGACACGGACATGCTGCAGTCACCAAAGAGAATTAAAAAAAAAATTTATAATGATATATGTCTTAACGAGTTGAGTTGAACTCTGAGTTTAGGATCATTACTTATGTATCGTTTTGCAGTATAAGGGAAGTCAGTGATAACGCCGTCAACGTGGAAGAAGTCGACGTATGTGGAGACTTCGAGAGAGGCTTGGGAGTAGTAATCAAAGGCTAAGGACACGTATTCATTCCTTACGACGTAAACGAAAACAGAGAGATTGGCGGACTTCAATTGAGCAACCACATCCGTGCTGCTAACCGTAAAATAGTTGGTGATTTCGACTAGGGCGGAACGAGGAACGGCAACAGCGTCAGCATGGATTTTGATCTCGTCAGCGACCTTTTTGGGGACTTCCCCATACTTGCCATCAACAGTTAAAACTCTTATGAAAGTTGGGAAATTGGTTTTGAAAGCGGTCAACACTGAAGTGTCATCCGACCTTATAAAAACGTTTAGTGTTGATTCCTTCTCCATATGCGCGTCGATCATTGTCGTCGATACGATTCCCACCAAGTCAATACCTTTCTTTGCAGCCAAGAAGGCCGCATTCTAACACAACAACAACAATAGCAACCCATAAACAAAGGAGTTTGATAGATCAAATGAACAAATTAAGAGATTTTCTTACTTGGAGGTTGATCATGATCCCATAAACACCTTTGGCTTTGGCGAACTCGAGAAAGTCAGAGAGGGACATGAATTTGCCCTTGTTCTTAAAGGCAGGATTTCGGACAAGCCCAGAAGAACCCAGGAAAGGGTTAGTGATTTGAGCTGAAACAGTAGTACAGAGTTCATTAAGATGAAGAAACAGAATTAGAAAAACAGAGTAGTCGAAAGAAAGAAGAAAGGGTTACGTTTCAATGTTAGAATCTGAGGCCAAGTAAGATCAAAAGAGAAGATTCCAGGATCTTGTTGAAGTTCGGGAACAGCCGTAGTTTTATCATTGAAAGCAATGATTGCAGTGGTAGTTGGCAAAAGATCACTGGTTTCCATGCAGAAAGGAACTCCATCTTTTGATATTTGTACTGAACAATCAATTACGTCAGTCCCATCCTCAATTGCTGCTTCGTATGAAAGGTCTGTTGACCCTGGGTAATCCCCACTTGCCCCATTGCTGCTTATCACCAACGGGTCTTCTCCGACTGAAATCATTCCAATCTACTCTTCACTTTTCACCAAACTAAAAATAAAATCGTAATCAAATATACGAGGAAGAAAATTGTTACCACGTGGAGAGTTGATGGGGTTGCGAAAACTGACATAGCAGGCTGCAAGAAGAACGAGCAAACAATTTAGATTTGCAAAAAACTTTACCATTTGTTTCAAAATTATTTTTTATCCTTTTAGATTTGCAAAAACATCATGGAACAAGGTGACAGTGATTATAAAACTAGTCTAGATTAAATTTAAAAAACAACGTTCGATCACGTCAACTTCTCGTTCAATATTCTAATGGATTTTTTACTTTCAAAGAGTAAGATTGCACATTTTCATTGAAAGGTATTATTGAAATAGAAGAAGAAGAAAGAGAGAAAAACTGACCAATGGCTTCAGAAGCAGTAGGAATGTAATCAGTAATCAAACCATCAACAGCAAATTTGCCATTATCAATAAACGGAATGTACTCACGGACAGGATCATAACTATAATTGTAACCAACAACGGCATCGTTTGCAAAGCCATGAGCATAGACTTCCAAGCCAAGCTTATGGGCATCCATCACAACAGTTGTTGCAGGCAGCACATACTCTTCTCGACTAACTGGCCAAATGTATGATTTTGGGACCGCAATTCCCGAGGCAATCGTCTTTATCATGGCCAGCTCATGAAGCAAGTCACCGTATTGTTTTCCTGTTGTTGGCTCTGTTTCAGTGGCTCCTAAGAACCGAAAGATGAGCTTTGTTTTGGCGCTGTTCACAGCCCCACCTAGCCCTTTCACTATTCCAATTTCGGAAGATGACACAAAGTCTATGGGCATCAGTCTCAATGCCTTTTGAATGAATGATATGATACTCAGATTGTGTTCTTGGTAGAATGTTTCCCACTGCAAAAGGCTACATAGTTAGTAAAAGCTTTGGATGCTAATAATTAAGGTCCTCTTTGGTACCCATTTCAGTTTTTGCTTTTGAAACTTCTCATCATCTCTCTACAAACAATGAGTTTTATCTTTGTTATCAAATAGTCATCAACCAAATAAATACCTCAGCGTTCAACCAAACAGGTCGTTTCAGTCCTAAGACATCGTCAACAGCAGAAATTGGCCAAACACCATCATACACACTAGGGCGGGACATGATACCTTGAACCACTAATCCAACAACAAAAGAAACATCAAATTAACTTTGTTTTGTTTTGTTTTGTTTTGTTTGAATTGAATTGAATGGACGAACTTACAGGCGACTTTGGTAAAGAGAATATCAGACATGAAATCAACCGAAAACCATCCTTTGTAAACCTTTCCATTGATTTCGTAAGTCTTACGAGATTTAGGGAAGACTTGTTCAATGTTGGTTGAGTTTTCAAGCAGAATATCAGATAAGCAAATAGCAAGCCCATCTTTGGTTAGTTGGAGGTTGCAGTACAAAACAGTGTTCGGTAAACCATTAGACACTGCTAATTCATTTGCAAGCGCGCTCGATTCAGGAAACACTCCAGAAAACCCACCCCTTGCTACCACTATAGGCTCTTCCCCTTCACCAAAACAGTTCATCCAATTCAATTTAATTTAGTTTAATCTAAACCACAGGAACTCAAACAGAAAATATTCAAGAGATAGTATTTGATTTTGTGGCGTTTTAATCAAAATCTATAAACAAACCTGTCAACGTGAGCCATTCCTCATTTGGATCTTTTGGAGGGCTCTGTTTCTGTGCAAAAGCGGAGGAGAGGACCAAGGAAGCTATGACCAATAAGCACTTCAGCATTGTGAGGCTCAGCACTCTGCAACACCAAATCAATAACCAAAATCAGAAAAATAAACAAAACCTCACGCATAAGAAGAAGAAGAAGAAGAAGAAGAAGAAGAAGAAGAAGAAGAAGAGATGCTTACCTTGGTCCGTTGATCAGTTTAGGACTGCAATGAATTGGAAATGTGATATTATGATTCAAATCTCAATCGGAAGACATGTTGAAAGGGAATGATGAACACAGAAAGAGAGAGAAAACTATGGGGAGAGAAAACTCAGAACGAGCATTCTCTGTCAAAAGTTTCTCCGCGAAAAACTACCAATGGAATGGAGAGTTTAGAGACAGAGATTAAGGAAATTAGGAGATAAAGGCGCGAACTCTCCTAAATATAGGGGTTTTCTTTTTAATTTTTGTTATGGTTATTCTTATTATTATAATAATAATAATAATTATTATTATTATTATAATTAATTACTATTACTTTTCTCTCTAAATCAATTCATAGATCACCATGCCTTACTAATTAAAGGATGGGTCAGTTTTACAATTGTTTGGTTCATAAACAACTCTTTCCAATCTTTCTTAATTATCTTTCATTCTCAACCCTCCAATATTAACCGCCTTTTCTCCATATCCACACCTCCATTATTTTCCCTATCCATATTTATGTAAATCATTATATATTTACTCTTTAACTTATAAATTATTTTATGGGTTATTTAATTTTCTTTAATTATGTTTTCGGTTGTTTTTTTTTTTAAAAAAAGATTATTATATATAAATAATAAAAGAATTGTATTGCACTATTCTTGTTGTTTGGATTCTTTTTTTTTAAAAAAAAACATTGTGTTTTTAAATAAATAATTTTATCTGCAATGAATTGAAACTCATTTTTATTTTTTTTAAAAAAAAAACATTTATTTTTAGTATCTATTTATCAATCTTCTATCAAAACCTTAATTGATTTGTTAAATGCATACGGAGGCTTCCATATATTTAAAAAGAGAAGTTTTAGAATCAAAAAATCAAATGTTTGGCCTCTCTTCACCAAACTGTAACTATGCATGCAGACCTAAGAGCTTCGACCAGGATGTGTACGACTCGTTTAGATAGAAAATAACTAAAACTAATATTAGTTTGTGTTGTATACAGTGATGGAAAGCAATAATGATTGACTAATTAAAATATTCGAAAGTCGATGATGCATAAATATGGCATTATTGAAAGAAATGGGCAGCATGAAGAATGAAGCTACTTCAAGTTTTACCACACAGAGATGATGATCAGGCAGTTATTGGCTCGGTGGCCTTCTCCAGCCATGCCTTCTCAGATTCATCCAAATATGGAGCAAGAATGTCCCTACATTTTGAATGATAAGTGTTCACCCAATCCAATTCTTCAGCTGTGAGAAGACTTGTGTGGATCAACTTTTTCTGGTATGGTGCCTGCCCAACAACCAAAAATCTAAGATCCGTTGTCTATTCTAAGAACGATCGATGAGTTGATGAAATCTGCAAATAGAAATAAGAATTTTACCCATGTTATGTGCTCGAACGATAAGTAGCCTTTATTACCAAAATTAAATTTTGTGTCGGCATCCTTCACGATAAGTACGTTCTCCAACCTAATACCGAAGGCGCCATCCTCATAATAGCCAGGCTCTGTGGTTTGCAATTAAGGTATCAGCAAGAAATGATTTTAGGACTAAAATAAAATTCTAGGCTATTTATGTTTCTGATATCCAGCGAAAAAACCAAGTTCACAAAATTATCTAAAGTAGGTTTGGTTAGCTTAGCTCTTTGTACACGTACTCACACAGTAAAGAAAACATGACAAACCCAAGGGAAATCGGGATGAGGGAGGGGGAGGGGTGAATAGACATCAAGTAGCGTGGAAGCAATCGATATTGAAAGTGAAACCTATGCAACAAAAGAGTTCACGAGTAATTGTAATTGATACCAATGACTTCCTTGTACGTACCATCCGTTACAGTCATTGAAGCTTGAAGTGGAACATTTCGAGCCTGGGGTCTGAAACTAATCAAATGGGGTCCTGCTCAAAATAACTAAGAAATTGTTAATTTGAACATAATTAATTACTGAATAAGAAATGTGGAAGCCATAGTAGTTCTTTACCTTCATGAACATTAAGGAAAGAACCAATTCCATGGCCAGTGCCATGTCGATAATCCAGACCATCCTTCCACAAAGGAACTCGAGCAAGAATATCCAACGCATGGCCTGCAAATAGGAAGTCAACCTATCTCTGATCAGCTTATTGGGAAGACAAAATACAGAGAAGAATAGGCGAGAACTCCTACCATTTGTGCCATTTGGAAATCTTGCATTTCCCAAAGCAATATGGCCTTTGAGAACCTGTCAAGATGTCGCTTCAGTTAGATAATCAAAATTGCAGTATAAATTTAGGAATTTCATATAGGACTTATCCATTTATGTTATTGGAACTAGATGATTTATAATCAATTTCATAATGTTGCAGCTACCATAAATTAGTTTCCTAGCATAAGGTTTCAATTTCTTAATTCATTGATTAAATTGTGCTTAAGAAATAAGTATTACTTTTCACTTCTTTAAAGATATACATATTCCTTTAAATACCCTAGTCTTATACAGAGTCGAGAATACTACCAATAGAAAAATGTCCATCTCACTTCAATGTAGTCCAAAAAGAACAATCTAAGATTTGAAAAACAAGTCCATCCATCCCCAATCAGAAGCAATTTTTGAATGGTGGAACCAAACTCTTAACCTAGCTGAAGGTAACAATGACAAGAAAGGTAGCCTCCAGAAAACCACTCTCCCAATTACAACATTAACTGAATGGATTTAATCTCCTCCATGGGTTCAGTCCGATCATCTTCATGGTAGGTGGACTTCTAGAAAGTATTAGAAAAGCACTTGCAAACATAAAACCCACAGTAAGCAAATTAGGATTAGAAAACTTTACACAGAGGTTGTGGCTTATTAGTTCTATCATTCCATGAAACTACATATTAAAGAGAAGCATCTTTTTCTTCCAACCGCACAAGAAATTTGGAAGTTCATGTCAGAAAATGATGCTTAACTTTATGAGCTCAAAGGGAGAGTAACGAAGGAACAAGAGAACCTCTCAAGGTAACTCTTGAAAGGTTTCTGATCAATGGGATATCCTAAGTTTCATGGCTTCTGACTGCTTCACTCTCTAATCTCTTAATTACTATTCCTGTGACCTTGACTATTTATTTTTGTAATCTCCTTTGACAGTCTCAAGCATTCTGTCTGCTTCTTTTGTTCTCTTAATACAGCATTGAAAAGGAAGTTTCTTGTTAAAGGTAACAAATCAGACTTAAAGCAAATCAATTTGTATTAAGGTTCATCAATTTGTGAGGTCGGTTGATTTATCAACTACAGAAACGAGAACAAATACATATAATGCTTTACTTTTTTCATTAATAATTAAGCTAAAGTAACTCACTGCTGTATAACAAGCTTTTTCATGTGCTGATGGTAATCCAAAATGGACTGTCCGCGTGATATCAGTTGTTCCATCCAAATACTAAGTACACAAACAAAAAGGGAAGAATTGAAACATAATTAATTCATCGATGAAAAGTATAACCATTATGATTAGGAAGAGGCAAAGCAGATAGTAAAGATCATGGTTAGCATCAATAAGGTTTGAATGCCCAACTAACCTGAGCCCCTGAGTCAAAAAGATAGATGCTTTCAGGATCCAACTCCGCGCATGTCTCTGCTTGTGGTCCATAATGTATAATTGCAGCATTTGAACCAACAGATGAAATCGTAGGGAAACTTAAGCCTCTGAAATGCTGAAAAGCACAAACAAAATGTAAGGCTTGCTTCATTTGCACTAGAAGGAAGAGAATGAACCTCATGAGGGAAAGTCGATGTGGAGAGTCAGAGGGAAGTAGTTAATTAGGGGAGGATTGTCTTTTCTTTAGTCAGTTAGTTTTGATGAAGTCAGCAAAAGAATGTGTAGTTAAGTTAGTTAGCTGATGTCGCATGCTGGGAGCTGTATGTACATGGAAGGTAAAAGGGAAAGAGTCAGGTTGTTAGTAGGTAAAATCTAGAATAGTTTCTGGATGGAAAACAAACTTCTCGGGCTTCCATCACAATCAATCCCTATCATTCCCAAAATTGACAACATGAGGTCCACAGTAAAACTAATCACCTAATATTCTTAGTTTATATTGTATATACTTATTTTAAAGAAGAGATAGACAAACATGCATAAGGGTACAGAGTGAAACATATTAACAATGAAGCTGACCTCCTTTGATGCACGGAAAGCCTCGAGCTTATCACTTACTGTAACTTCTGTCAGTTTCTTCGAGTCCCTAACAAGGATTGTTTAACGTTAAAATACGGTTAGAAAAATGAGCAACTGCAATGTCAGCAACGTGAGTATGTTGAAGTTTATATAATGTTCTTTGCATAAAATAATAATAATAATTATTATTATTATAAAAAAAAACATTTTTCTCCAAAGCATTGCAACAATAAGCTGATGTGGTTTAATCACAAAAATGGACTTGTTGCTCTTGCTTTTTCGAATTATATGCTCGAGTTATATGAAGTTTTCACTCCTACAATTACTTATTCGTTGGGACAATAACCTATGGGAAGGATTGATTTGAGGATGAGGCATTAGCATACTGACTCGCCTTCTTCCTTCCCTTTTTTAGTCCAATCTCGAATGGAACTTTTTTTTTTAGGATTGTTACAACATATTTTTTACTCTATTGTATAGAACTCACGATGGTTTGGGCTTACTCGCTCCATCCCCTTCCAAAAAGTACCCAGAAGCCCCATAAGTCTCTTGCAGCTGCAAATTTTAAACCAAGCTAGAAATCATAAAATGTAATATGACGCCAATGTCTGTTTTTTGGGGCTCGGTAAGAAGTTATTGAAGTGAATGTAAGCTAGATGCTATAGGTTTCAAATACCTGCTTATCCAGCCACACAAGATATTGTACAACAGCTGCACCATCCCGAATGTGTGCATTCTTTAGTCCATCCAACTCAACAGAGTTCTATAGAATAACCGGTCAATCAAAGTGGTAAAGCAATGAGAAAAATATGGACTTTGAAAAGGAATTTCCTTTTAACCCTGTTGTTCAAGTTTCAAGAAGATGATTGAATAAATTGAAAGTTACTGACTACCAGGAACAGATCATAAGATATATGTTAATACTTTTATCATCTCAGGCACCAGTGTAGTGGCTTATTGTTGCTCACATGAAAAAAAAAATTAACAAACACCATCATATTGTTCTTCAGAGAAAAAAAATTGATATGGAAATTGAAATGCTACCTTTAGAGCTTTTGCAAGGGCCAATGGCGACTGTTGCA